CAGATTAGACAATATTTCTCATGTCCTACTTAACCATTCTCATGTATTTATTATATTTCTCTAAGGTTCCTACACTTCCTGTAGTTAATATCACTGGATGGGTAATATTTTCAGGTGTTGCAAGGGACTCTATGAAGCAGTGTTTATAACATGTAAGTAGTTTAGTTAACTCCTCTAACATAACCCATGTAGTCTGGTAATTACTAAAGCTTAGGAAATTCAGAAATACAAATAATTTCCCTCAAACTTATACAATTTACATGAACCTAAAGTGATTGGGATTGCGCCAAAGAAGTTGACCACATTGAGGGTGTCAGCATGAAGCACATCCTTAAGGCAGCTTACAGTAGACATGAGAACCTATACACATGGTGTTTACTGTAACCCCCCAAGGCAGCAACACCAATAAAACGTTTGCCCTTTTGCGTCAATAAAAAATAATGTTTTAAATATGGCAGTACTCCCGAGTGTAAGTTTCAAGGCCAGGGGCTCCCACTCAACCCTCTGACCTTGAGTCTTGTCTGATCGCTAGTATATTCTTATTTATTAGTCCCTCCTAAGCTCTCGAGTGATGCTGGCATGCGCAATAACCATGACAACTGCTGTCAGACATGTAATACACAAAAGTCATAATAAATGCAACCCAGTAAAACAGCAATAGTACTTGGTGGCCATTTGAAAATGTGGTTGCCATTACCACTCATATTTATACTTCAAATCAGGACGTTTTTAGCATGATATTTCTTGTTTATATTATTATTAACATCTTACCTGTAGAGGTAGCAAGGTGGCGAACTGATTATCTCGTTGAAAAGTCTTTCATAGAGGCCAAAGTTAGTGGGAAAAGAAATAACGATTCTCGATCGACGCTACCTTCGCCATTTGCATGTAAACAACAGGCGGAGCGAAGCCTGCCCGACTATTTCCCGCTTTTGATAATTAAGTTATAATACAATGCAGCAACATTTGAAAATAAAATATAAATATAAATAATATTTTAGATATGGAAAACATACCATATTGGTATTTATCGGCAAACAGATAAAATTGCTATGAATCTTTAAGGCTTTACCAATTCGGGAATATGGTTCACGAGTGGCAAAACTGTCCTACCATAAATCTTAAAATTGTATTTTTGGAGTGGATTTATACTTAATAGATAAATATATTCTCCTATTAGCTAATTTTAAACAAATGCCCCATAAGATAACCTTGAAATATTTAATAATTGTGCCATACAAATGAAAAATGTACCATGGCGCCACTATACACCACTCAATTGCTGTCTGCCCTTCAGAATTTTCAAATAGTATTGTACTATATTAGTCTGGTTGAAATGTAAATACAAGATAACTAGCATATGAATGTAAGAGAGAGGCGCGACTTCAAGCAAAACTGAAAACGACGTTTTAAAAAATTCTTGTTATAAATTTGCATTTTTAATGTAAAATTGTCATATTTACTTTATCCTCCTCTGCACTAAGTTATGATTGGTTCAGCTTGTGCTACATTGACAATGCAGATATACACATTGTGCATAGTCTGTGCAGATTATACTGTACAAACATTTGTAATCAGAGATTTCACTAAAGATAGCCTAGAACAGTATCTGTAGATATTTCGCTGACGGATAACACTAATTTGGTTGATGCTGACAGATCTTGACTGGTAGTGAGTGACAGCTGTAATGACAAAAAGGCCGGTGTGTGTACTATTGTAAGTTGCTTTGAATGCTCAACAAGAAATAAGAAAAACGAGGGTTGACGGTAAAGGTAACAAGCTAAACTACGTCATGGGTTCATGTCCCGGCCCGGGACAGATGTGAGAAGGATGTTTGTGACACTACCAAATGGCAGGTTTCTCCGGGTACAGGTACTCCTGTTTCCTCCTATACTAACACTAGACAATAAAGTTTATAGCAAAGAACAGGCCAACGTTTCGTATTTACATTTAAAATTCTACATTTTTTATACCGGGAAAGCTTTCATCATTTTCTCTTTCAATTACAGTACCAAGGTAATAACGGACCAGACGGAATACTGTATTGTAATCTTACTGGATGTTGGCGACCACTGTGGAGATATGTTAGATGATCACTTACGGTACACAGTACATGTATTGCATAGTATGTACAGTACAGTACTGTGGAATTAAATACAATGGTCACATAAAATAGATTTTGTTTCCTATTTACCAACTAAAGTAAGCCATAAAATACCAGTATTCATTAGTTCAAGTTTATTCATCATAGCTATTAGTGAAAATCTGCAAATGATACTACTGCAGATATATACCTGTGTACAGTACGTGCGAAGTCTGATAGGTAACAGTGCTAATTGTTGAAGCTTTTAATAATATCATTGATGAAGAAAAAGCTACTGTAAGTTGTGAAGACGAAAAAATTGCAAAAATTTAGTTCGTTATTAATTTCAAAGGGCGGCAAAAATATTAAAGTGAAGGCTGGAAATGATCATGTTTGCAACACACATTAAGGTATCTTCATTACTTACTTTCAATTCTTCAAATACCTTTTATAATAGGCTTACTGTCCTTTTTACTGCTGTCTCGACTTACCGGTAACACTCCTGAAATCACAATTTTCTTATTAACCCAAACTGAAACATGAGATCACTCTCAGGTTTTATATCTATATATTAAGCTGAAACAATCACTCACTCCTGCAGTCTTTTAACACACTTGATGCTAATGCTTTCAGGACTTTATTTGTTCTTTGCATCACTATTGGCGCTAATATAGTGTGCGGTCTACAAAGATATACAGTATTTAATCAACCCTAACTTTACCTAAAAAAAATCCTTAAGAATATTTTGATAGTTTACATTCTAAAGTATTGGACAAATTGTAGACTGCCGGGTATATAGTGCAAATATTTCTGTAGACCGTATGGGATATGAGCACCATTCTATTCCTGTCATCATGTTGTAGCCCCACTTTCACTCTCTATCTTGCTCCTCACATACTTAAGACCAAGGTGATACCACAAGCCCCAGACACTCTCTCCCAGTTATCTTGAACTTGCTCACACCTGTTTAATTCCCAAAGATTCACTATTTCTAGAGTATTAGTTTTTGATAGCCTTTATTTTGGTGCACCCTGTATAAAGTTAGTAATTTTCACAGGGTCTCTCTTACTTAGACATGTAAGCTCTCTTAACCAGACGACGATCTTAATGATTTTTATATGTAAGTTAGCGAGGGTGTGTTGTGTATATGCATGTGTGAGTTCTACCCACAGCAGAGATTAGATAAAAAGTGTCAACAAAATATTAAGATATAATATGAGGCAATACAGGTACCAGGAAAAAGGGTGAGCGTGCAAAACCAAAGTTTTGATACAAAATTGTTTTAAGATTTGTTCTTCCTTTCCTGGGCAGATCACTTAAAATTATTATACGTTATTCTTGGGATCACAAGTTCGTGGTGACAACAAGAGGTCAAAGGTTAAGATGATAGTGCTACACTAAAAATGGCATTTTAAATATAACTAAAGTTGTTACTGATAAGGCTATATAAGGTCTACACATGCATCATTTCATGTTACTTGGTGTTGTAGCTACAATATGGTTGTGGTGTTAATATAGTACAGTATATTATTCAGTGCTGTTTACGCTACATCTAAATATGCAGTAAACCATATCTGGTAAAGTTCTGTGGTGATGATGCATAACCATGTTTTATCATCTAGTATTGTCATAATATCCTCTGTTGTTACTAGTGGACATAATGCATGTCCTGGGAATGGAAAGAGATCATGTACTGGAGGCTTAAGGTACATCCCTCCTCCCCAATCCATACATGCAGGGCTGATAACTATTTCGTTCAGTATAGTACAATATTCACTTACCAATGAGAGAAAACAGAAATTAAAAGTGTGTGTGTTGGAATAAATATGAACAAACATAATAATGATGTGGCATCAGGAGAGAACAGAAACACTGATGAAATATTGCAGATGGGAGATGAAAGAGTGAACGTACAGGTTATGAGGGAGAAGAGTATCACGGGAATTACAAGGGTTATGTATAGTGCTCTGCATAACAGCTAAGGAAGAGTATGGCAAAACATACCGAGTGAATTATTACAATGATGGTATACAAGAGAGGTGCAAGTGTGGATTCAGAACTGGAATTCCATATGATAAATAAAGTACAGTTAGTGGCATTTAGGGATCTGGACCAATCAGACAGAGTATAAGTGGGAAATATCCTATACTGAAAATGAATGGAATAAATGGGACACTGCTGAATGTTGTCCCAAGTTTTTAATGGCAGACTAAAATATGTGTCAATAGAAAATGGTTCCCAGAGAAAGGAGAACTACATCAAGTATAGGTATGTGAAGTGTGACCATTAATGTCATGTATTTCTACAGGTTGGGCAGTAAGAGGAAAATGCACAAATAATAGTAAGGGATGTAAGTTTGGTAAACAATGATACAGGATGCAAAGGAGAGGTAGTGCAGATTACACTGCTGTTTACAAATGACACCACTCTAATGGGTAATGAAATGTTGTACATACTAGTGAATGAGTTTAGTACCTGTGCACAAGGAGAAAGTTGATAATGAAGTGCAGAGTATCCCAAAACAATAGTCACAAAAACTGTACAGAATTCATTACAACAAATCTGTCATCTGCATTCCTTGTTAGGTATGTTTCACCGTTCAGAAATTTTATTTTTACCAACATACGGTATTGCAGAATTAATCATCGATACATCGCATACCCATAAGGCCATACAGTATATGAAGTGAACAACGACATAAATTCTAGAAAATATGCAACAGAAAAATCTAGGTAGTACAACTCCACCTCTTGAGGGCACATGCTGTACTTCATCAAGACATCCAACTTGTTTTAAAATATGCTGTTTACAATAAATTATAGACTGGCAAGAATATTGTTCTATGTGTGTACATAACATCTTTAATGTGTAAAATTTATCAAAGAATTCAAAACACAAAATAGCAAAAACTTTGTTTATTTTCCTTAAATTAATACATTATATACAGGGATCCCACCGAATGCTTTGGGCAGCATTCATAAATTTTTAATTTCATAAACTGACTGTTCATATTGTAACTCCAATCCAGTAAAATATATCCTCAAAGTACAGTACATTACATACATTCTATAAGAGAAAAGAAAAGAAAAGAAGACAGAAATCCTAAACAGCACAATGTGACAGTTGATGAGAATGCAAACTGGGATGAGTGACTATTATATAAATGTTTCTATTATTACAAAGAATGCAAATTAAAGACTATTATCATACTTGATAAAGTTTAAGAATCTTAAGAAAGCAGGATTACAGGAATTCAGACATGAAGTTTGTGCTGATGCAATATAAAAAACCTCTGAAATGTATTCCACAATACAGAAACTAACAACATTCAAGCTAACTCATTCATTACTCTTTTTATCCATAAAATTTACAAAGAATTTCAACACCACTTAGTTCAACAGACAGGAAACATCACATTAAATTGTTCTTCTAGTATGAAATCAGCACAGTGAGCTGATGATTTATCTACAAAACAGTTGACCCTCTGCCCAAAACTCTCAGATCACAAGCACTAGGAAAAAGGCAAGTGATGGCAGAACTTCAGTTACAATGGAAGTGTGCACTGAAAAAATATTTATTACAAAGTTTCTATTGCAGCCTCACAATCCACACCTTGAACATTATTACTTTAACAAAATGGAAAATTTCAGGAAGTTTCTAAAGCTAAAGAGAGCTCTTCTCTTCTGTGTTGGTGGTAAGGTAGAACAAAATTAAGAAATGTATGTAAGTGAAGATACTAAAATGTCCCACTGCCTCAGTCACAAACTAAGGCAAATATATGAAAGGCTTCATAACACATCAAAATCTTCTACACAAGTGACATAATGTGTAGCATCATGAGTGTCATCTAAATAATACTCCAGTTTCTTGAATACACATCAAGTAGCTGTCCCTGAATAGTGAATAACCTGGACCAATTTTCAGAGCCATATGAGTTTAATGTGTTGACACACTCATACACACAATATACTATACATATACAGTATATACTGTATTGTGTGTATGTGGATTAGATATTGTATACGTATTATTACAATACAACATGTGACTGACAATACTGAGGAAAAAGTCACTGGAAATTAAAAAAATTAATGAAAATAAACAGCATGTTCTGTACTCTTGTATAAACATAACAATGTACATTACCGGGACAGTAGTTTAATTCAAAATCGAGGTATAATTGGCTCATCTGTTTTGCCATCATAGATGTAACACAAAGACCCATAATTGATATATGGGAAAACAGTCTGAGTTTAGATCAGGGAGCTTCAAGTTTAAAGTGAGAGGCAAAGAAAGAATCATATCACAATCTTCCATCTTCTGGCCAAATTGACACACCATATACGAGCCCAATGTATTGTAAAGTTCAAGGCTACTTGGCTCAGTTCTCACTCAACATCCTCTTCAGTCACTTTAGATCCACCAGCAGCCTGAAGTATACTCTGTAGGGGAAAAACAGAACCTCAAGAGATCTTCCATGGACACTTGAGAAGAAGAAAATAGTGAATCACGCATTACTTTTTCTCATCTACCCAAACCAGGCAAAATATTGATGCACTTTCAACAAAATTACAGATGTTTACATTCACAATGTAGTTTAAAGGGAATGAATCACATGCACTCTCACATGTCCAGTTACAGTACAGTAATTATTTTTTTACATGTTAACATTTGTGAAATTGCAAAAGAATGATTTACAGGGGTAAAAATATGTTAACAGCAGCAGTAAAAACTACAGTATATTTATTTTATTGTATCAATTTGGCTGACAGTAAAGAATGAAGTTATGAGTAGATATGTTAGGGTGAATAAGTCCTTAGACACCCAGGAAGGAGTACACTGAATCTTGATATGATGAAGTAACCGAACAAGATCTCCACATTTGGGGAATTATGGCCCATTTTGTCTCAACAGTGAGGAGAAATATTGGACTTTTACAATGCTGTCATCAATGGCCGTAATTTACAGGTACTTCACTCAGACTGAACTTACTTTATTTTTTGAAGGAAAATAAATCAATAATTTCATGTCTCTTAAATTGTTTACTTAGTATAAAAGTTAGCTCAGTTGCAGTGAACTTGTAAAATGGTCATCTGCTTATCGACTGCTGCCAACAAAGAGAAGCGCACTGTCATTAGCTTGTGGTCTCAAAGTGTGTAAGGCTCTGAAATTCATAGAAGACTATCTGCACAGTATGGTTATAATGTTTTGCTGCAGCAGAACATGTATCAATGTATTGAATTGTTCAAAATTGGCCGAAAAGTGTCAGTTATACCGAATGTTCAGGGCGGTCATCCACATCAATCACCGACAGCAACATTGACTAAGGTTGTATGATTGTTCTCGACAACAGGAGGGTAACAGTTGATGAAGTTACAACACATCTTGATATAAACCATGGTTCTGTCTATGCAATACTCCACTACACACTCAGGTTCCACAAAGTTTGTGCAAGATGGGTTTCAAAGTAAAAAAAGGAACAGCATAAGTGCAATAGTATGGACATTTGTACTCTACATTTGGAAGTTGGAACGGTAAGACAACGAAGAACATCAGTTCATGACCCGCCCTGTTACTGGTGACAAAACATGGATCCACCATTATGAGCCAGAAAACACACGCCAGACAATGAACAGTAACAGAGGTTCTCGATTGCCCACCATACAGCCCTGACCTTGCTCCGTTGGATTATCATTATAAATCTTTGAAAGCAGCTTTGAGAGGACATCAGTTTGGCACAGATGATGAAGTAAAGGACGCGGTGCATTCACGGCTTCACGTGGTATTCAAAAGCTTGTGCATCACTGTATTGAAAGCAGGGTGATTATGCTGAAAAATGATAGCTGTTCCAAACCTGTAACATGTTTGGATGACATAAATGAAAACATTGTGGATACTCTTTGACTTACCTCAAAAACCCTTGGAGGGATGTGTACTCTCAGATATTTTTAAGCATTCTACAAAGTATACTAAAGGTATTCTATTTTGGGCTACCAAAAGTCGACATAAATTGTGGTTTAGTTATGAGATGAGAAAATTTAGTGACAAACTGAAGTTTCCCATTACTGTACACTACCGTACTTCTAATGTGGATAACTGAGTCTACTCAATTGAGAAACAGAAGTGTAGATTTACAGTTAGGTGTACAACCATTTAGGGGCTAAAAGGCATGGTTGGTACTGACCTCACCAACTGCTGGCAGCTTGTGGAGGAGGAGCTGGAAGACCTGAGGTGGTAAAGTCTGCTGAAGAACCTGCAGCAATTGTTGAGGCTGTCCACACACTGCCACGGCACGGCTCAGGTGCTCCACTCCAGATTCAATCTCTCCCTGGGCCAGAAGCTCTTCTCCAGCCTGGAAAATACAAGAAGCTTTCATTTCAATATACTGTAAAGGATGCCTTTGGTATATCTTTTAATATTTCAAGAAAATAGGAACAGCTGGGAGGGTAAAATTGCACTGATATGGCACTTGTCTTATTCTAAGATGCTCTGATACCCCACTAGGCTGTTCAGATTTTTTTTCCTATCTTGGGTTGGGATGAGTACTGAGCTTACTATATTTATCTATTTTCTTGCCTTTCTCTGAATGACCAGCCTGTTCTGTTAACTTGTTTGATAAGAGAATGACCAGCTGAGTGATGGGATCGTTCATTCTCTGACACACACCTCTTCCCTCACACTCCCTCTGATATAGTGTTGGATCAACATATTGGCCACACTGAGTGAAGGGATTAAGTTGTGTAATGCCTCATACACTTAAAAAAGGCAATTAAAGAGAGGAAGACCCTTAATGATTCCGAGGTCACTATTTCAAAGGTTACATTCACTGCAGTACAGTTAACGGCAGACTTCCATAAATGAATTATACAGTCACTGGCCTCACATACTCAATCATATATCAATCATGAATTTCTCAAGTCAAGACTTACCTGAACCTGAGCAAGGAAGAACTTCTGGACAGCCTCCTGGTCCTTAAGGTTAGGCCAAGTGACTGAGCTGCTTCCTCCACTACCACCCTTTGTGGTCTTGCGACCTGTGGGACATCATTTGTAGTCAAGTCATAAGTATATCTTATTGCCGGATATTTGGCATATTATTAAGCTTTAGAAGAAACTACTGTACAGGTACTTAGTGTTCATATATAACTGACACATCAATCAATTATATATGGGTCCCCTTCAGAGCTGAATAAAATTGTCTGGCATTAGCCGTATAAAATATCAAAAGTGGTGCCCCCATGGTCAAGGGGTTAAAGGATTATTCCACTCAAGAAAAAATGGTAGGAAATGGCTATTGAGCCCAGTCACTTGGTAAAATAATTTAGTTGTATACAGCAGGGTTGTTTGTTGTTGTCAATGATATACCTAAAAGTGTATTTTACCCGGTGGCCTGGCTCATTAGCCATTGACCCATTTTAGCGTCTGACGCGGCTCATTAGCAATTTACAAAACAATAACACAAACCTAAAACTGGTAGGTTTGTGGTGCCTCTGTTCTTTACATTTACCATAAGTTTATCAAAATTTTTACAATCTCTTTAACTGTATTTTGAAATCATAATAATTAATGAAGGTATTAAATCTTCATAGTAACTCAACGCTCAATATTAACAGTAAAAAATATAAATATAAAACCTTTCTTAAACCTGTGTAGTTTTTCAGTAAGTTGAAAGTACTTTTTTCATTACTGTGACAATAGATTTAATTTTACTTCATTAAATCAAATGGTTTAGCGAGAATCCTTTATAACGAAACGTATCAATAAGTGACAATTCTACAATACAACTTTATCAAGGGAATCTATCACTATTATAAGTTATCTAACACAAAGTGATTATTTAAATGGTTACGCAACCTTTACTTTCTTCCACAATTTGTCCGGCATCATTCTAATTGGCCGAGGTTGACAACGCAGATCCTACCATTAGAGTATTGAATTGGGTCACTTGCAAACATGGTTAGGTTAGATTTGCAAATGACCATATTCAGTAATCTACAGTAGGATCACCAGCATCAGCCTCTGTCAATCAGAACAAGCCTGAATAAATAACGGGAGTGGTTAAAGGCCCGTGACAGGACATATAACCATTGCTTAAATCACACCTTGTTCAGGAGTCATTATACATAACACATTTGATACTTATGATACCACCACATAAATTTCACAATAGTAAAATAAATATGCAACTTCTAATAATTAAAATATTTAGGAAATGTTATACGAACGGGTATAAATAATTCTACGTGTGGCAAATTTACCTGATCACAAAACCTGACAGTAATAGACACAAATCTTTCGAGTCTGATCGTTGATTATACAATTAAAATCAAATAAAGCTCTAGTGTTTCATTAGTGATTAAATGAGAGTGGCTCAGGTTGGCCCTCCCAAAATTACTCACGTCGCTCCCGGAGTTTCTTCTTAAAGTTAGGGTCACTCCGGCGTCTCTGGTCGAAATATATACAATAGCCGAGGAAGAGAGCGCCGGCTACTCCTGCACAGATGCCAAGTGTGCCTTTGGAGATCATGGTCATGCTAAGACCCCTGTTTATAGCCAGATTTTGTACAGCGTGACTCGAACAGCAGACGCCAGCACAGGAGCGGGAGCTGACGCACCAGGGAAAGGAAATAAACAGGGTATAGATGGCGCACGGGTCGTAAAGAAACAGAAGAGCATTATTATTATTATTTTAGGCTACTCCGTTTAATATTTGATGCTTTTAACGCTATACAATTCTATTTATAATTTCTTTTTGCGAAATTTATGTAATTTTTAGTGTCGTCTGCTGAGAAATTGTAGTTGCCGAGTGGCGGTCGTTTTGAGTTTATCCTCAGCATCTGCCTTACGACGAGAATCACCGATCTCAGAATTGATATATGATTTTATAGCAACAGATGTAGGTGCAATGGCTGGTAGTGGCAGCATATCCATGAATGAGAAAGAAATGGCCGGGAATTCCACCTTGTACGAGTTTTTGCCGACTCCCTTAATTCTTCACTCCAATCTCCAGCGGTCGACCTTCACCGATTATCTTGGGAGTGGCTTCAAGATAAGAGGTAAAGATATTACCTCATGAAGGATTTGATAAAATTATTGACGCCATTTTCTTAGTGTTGATTATAAACGGAAACTTCACACCCAGGGCAGAGCGAGGTGTACTTCATTTACACGAGGCATTATTTGGGGGGGGGGGGTGTGGACGTAATTATAGTAAAGTAAGTTATTTTACGGTAACATTTTAGTTTCGATCATCCCTGTATTTAAAACCTAACCCAACCTAGCCACAAAACCCAGGAACTGTTATCTAACCTGACCAGGGGGGGGTTTCGCCCCTAAGACCCCTACTTTTACTTTTTTTTACTTTATTTTATCCTCTTCACCGCAGATCGGCTCGTTAGCCGCTTGGGCGATCGGTTACGTCTCTGTTACGCACTGTTGGCAAGTACTGGGCATGCACCGGCTCCTGAATGTGCCTGAACCTGCTCCAGTGTTGGTCAAGTCTGGTCTTGAAAGAGCTTACACTCGCTGCCGTCACAACACTTTCTGGCAGATTGTTCCAAGAGTTCACAACTCTCACTCCGAAAAAGTTTGCCCTCACAGTTTTCTGGACCTGCGGCTTCTTCAATCTTGAGCTGTGACCCCTTGTGGGGCGAGCATCCGCCAGCTCCAAGTAAGGACACTCGACTGAGGAGTGCCCCTAGAGATGCTTATATACACCTCAGTTAGGTCGCCCCTTGCCCGTCTGTAGCATAAGCTACTGATTTTAATACTGTAGTTAAATTTCTAAGATTCCCCGGATGACCGAAACTAAACTAATACCCATTTTCCTTCTATGGGCGTGTAATTTAGATCCTTATTTTCATGAATGAATTACTATATACAACTTCCTGATAACTATCCACCCATCAGCCTCAGCAGCAAAATATCCCCCCCCCCCTTTTCACTTACATAAATTGTTCAAAAAGTTTTCACGTGTCCTTTTTTTTTCCACATTTATTCCAATAGTATTAAACTATTTTCTCAATAAGTTTTATAGATATTTTCGCCCTTTTATTTGCATTTAGCCCTGCACGTCACAATATCTGATCCCGTAAAAGTATTGGTATGTTGCCTTCGGATCCCAATGAGTGCCTCTTAGTTACTATAGTATTATAATTTGTTTTATACGTTTTCATCGTATTCTACAGTAAGTGAGAAGACACCCATTGACAGTGTCATTCTTCCTCGGTGTGGCGTGGCTGTTCTCATCGTGCAGATGCCTCGGATTTCAGGCATCAACCCGAACCAGGACACAATTGACTGCTGTTCACACACATACTCGACAGAAAGTCGTGATGGACACTCGAAGGATGAGGATGTGAGACAAGAGACTCTGGATCAATTGACTGAAAGGTACCTTTCAGTCAATTTTTAGGTTGTCACCTGTTAAAATGACTTTGTACCAGATAATTTATTCGTTATCTAAACTAAGGTCAGTTATTTAGATTGCCCCCGAGGGGGCTAGTTTATTGGGCACCCCCTTACATCCTGTGCAAGGTGAAGCGCAGAAGCTTTTACAGCGCCCATCTGAGAAGCATGCTAAGTTCATGCTCGTCTTTATGACTCATGCATTAAGGGCGTAAAAGCCTGAAGGGTCATGGGTTTTGTCAGCAAGTTACATAAAGTGACTGAATGATGAGTGTGTGGGGGGAAAGTTCCCGGTAAATTTCATCTGTTTATGGCAAAGCGTGGCAGGTCCCTAATAATGTCGAGCGCCAGGCCTGTCACTAGGAGGAGGGATATCTGGTCAGGGAGGGAAGAGGTGTTGGTAACGGCTGGGGACTTGTAGGAGGTCATAGGGCAAGTGAGGCTGTAGTGAGAGAGGGTGTAGTGAGAGAGGGTGTGAGAGTCGGGTTGACCACAAAGTTTACAAACAGTGCGGCCAGGCTCAGGGTTGCCAATGTACTCCCATAGGTACCTGTAATATAATACTTAAGATTAACTGATCATGAAAGGTGTTCTAATTGACCTAACCTTTGACTTGACCTTACAGGGTGTCATCTTTCGTAAAGGGCCACCGTGTGAGTGTTGTAGTGGTGGTAGGAGCGGTGTTCGGGGACGAAGAGGTGGGTGGTGTCATAGGGAAACTGCAAATGTCACTACTGCCCTACCCACCGCTCATCCTGCCCTCCCACGGCGACGCCCAAGCTGCCTCCCACGTCCAAGTTCTGGCCAAGGTAATTTTCTCAACTGGATCTTCGTATTCATTGGTTCCAAAATTAATATTCCCAAAACTTGTAAAGTGAGAATGTATCTAACCGGCTCACTTAAGAAACGGGAAGTGACTAAGGTGGTGTTGCCTTTGCTCAGAGACCACCAAATTACTGTACTAGCGTTCTTTTGCTTTTACGGAGGAAAATTTCATCTCTGAGGATCTCTAGGTAAAGAGACTAACTAATTCCTTGGCATATCAATGTGTAAAGTGAACATCTCTAGTTATCTACCTATCCATGTCCTATATATCCTTCTATTACTGTCTTTGTCTGGTTTTCAAGAGTTTTTCTGTTACAGGCCATGGTGCCAGAGAGACGAGAAGTGGTGGAGGGGAGGCTGGGGGTGATAATGAAGGCGGCTCTCACCAAAGACCACACACACACGCTAGCTCGGGTCATGGGCCTCAACTACCACCGTCAGTAACTAAACTTACTGTTTCACCCGTTATTGTTCTAGTTATATTGATCATCATAATAGTTTTAGTGATTCGGATATTACTGTCATGGTCACAGTTGCACCTATATTTTAGTAACACCTAAACACGTTCATATTATGCTCCATCGTCCATTAAACATTATTTTCCCCGAGTTAGCCATATGAACGTTTTCTCTGATACGAGTACAGGTGGGGAAACGTTCATACGGATAACTACGAAAAATAATAGGTTTTATAGATGGAGTATACAGTAATATAAGTGTAAGTGTTTAGTACTACAATATAGGTAGTAGAAATTAATGGGTAGTAATATATAATTTACATTGGTTATCAATATTACAAGGATAGGTTTGTTTGGTTATCCTTCGCAGCATTGTTTGTTTAAAATTTGTTGTACCTACACATTTTATACCTGCACTATATATACATTATGAATCAATGTGAAATTGTATGGTTATTTTACTGAATATCTACTTATATCTGACGTGTGACAGAGGTGTCGGTGTTAGTTGACTCGCTCGGGTCGCTGGGCAGGGTGGCGAGGGCGTCGACTGAAGAGATCCACAGTAAGACCCCTCTCAGCGCCAAAACTGCTGCTGCCATCGTCGCCTTCTTCAACAGAGATACTGTTACAGTGTAGTCCCTTTTATGTTACACACCCTCACATGACAACACTATTTCATATCTTCACCTGCCGTTTTAAGTCAGCCACCGAACACAAATTCTAGCATAGTATACTATTATTATGATTATTATAACTTTTTAAGTAAAATCTAGCGCTAACGATGACCTGACACCAAATGCTCCACAGCCTTTTTCACATTTTTTTTCTGGTCTAAAGGAACGTTAAGTTACAATCCTTGCTTTTAGAAACAGCGTACATCTTATGTGCTTATAATTCATAATCTCCTGTGGTGGTGATTCACTTAAGACTTAGGAAGTCCACAGCTCGATTTAAAATGTTTGACTTTCCTTCCTAACTTACGGTAACTGTAGATCTCCTAAGCTTCTGCAAGGTGGAAATAAGGCCGTTTTCTCTACTATACAACCCTTACCAAAACACACATTTCAAGCGACATTAGTGAGGATGGAATTATTGATTGGATAATACTAAAGGACAATGTTTAACCTATGACCAAAACAATCCAAATATATATATATATATATATATATATATATATATATATATATATATATATATATATATATTTCATGTAAATCCACAATGAAAACCTTGGATAAGATAAATCTTGATAAAATCACACGGGAAAATGGAAACAACGGAGTACCTCAGCTTTCGTCTTTATTCAAGACATCTTCAGAGGCAACTGAAGATGCCTTGAATAAAGACAAAAGCTGAGGTACTCCGTTGTTTCCATTTTCCCGTGTGATTTTATCAATATATATATATATATATATATATATATATATATATATATATATATATATATATATATATATATATATTGGGAGGTGGTAAAAATGCAAATGCATAAAAGTTTTTATTTACTAATCATTTTTTTTTTGGCCGCAAGATTAGTGAAATGTATCTTGACCTAACCCAACCTTAACATACCCTACTTTACCTTACCTCACGTTTTTTTATAATAAATTTCCAGAGATAATCAAAGGTTAAAGGGCATAATCGTGATATATCGAGTTATGTTTATATATCATCAACAGATTTATATTTGTTAGCGAAATTATTGTAAAAAAAAAAAAAAAAATCTCCACACATGGAAGTTTAAAAAATTGTCATTGCAATTTTTCTAGAGAACTTAATTGTTTGTCATATGCATTGGGGTTTTCTGTTTTCAGTGGAGGTGCTGACATCCCAACAATTGTCCGATTTGAAAATGTTGCTGTGCAACGACTGAAATTAAGTTATAAATGCGTAGAAGGTGTCTATCAAGATAATTACACTACAATAGTCTTAGGTTAGTTTAGGTAAGGTAACGTAAGTTTAGGTTAGGTTAGGTTGATACATTTCACTAATTTTATGGAGAAAAAGAACATCACTACTGAAAGTATCAAATAAAAAAAACCTATGAAAATAATATTTTTTGTAAGAAAAATGGGATACCACTGTTATGCATTATTTTCCCCCTTTTTTATTAGGTTGAGCTTGGATTGGGTTAGGTATTATTTAACCATGATTTCAGTATTCAACTTTTTGTCTTTAACCATTATGATGATAATTATGGAAGTTTTGGCTGTAAACTACTTACCTCCCTAACTAAAGTGTAAAAGCAGATAAGAGTATCCAAATTGACTATTACCAAAGCTCCTACATAAATCACTATTGGCACATATAAATGAGTCATATGTGGTACCTGTACATACTGTAAAATGAGGAATTTCTTTAAGATTTTTACTAAGACTGCAATAACTACTATTTTCAGTTTGCAGAGGAAGATGTAAGCTATCTGTGAACACATTTCACAAAAACTTTACTAAGAAATAAAGTCACAATGAACCAAATTGAAGTTGAATATTTTTTTTATTGTTTTTATAACCTTATAAAAGTGTAAGTAGGTATACAATTCGGTGGTCAGATGAGGAGAGAGGGGGGGATCCATGAAATCATAAGCAATTTTTAACCTTTTTTTTTTAGGTAAGGTAAGGTTTTCAAGGGTTTGTTTGGTGTTCTTTTTAGTATTTTCCCCCAACATTTTCCCTCTACCTCAAAGCCCTGTCCACTTCCAACAGCCAATATTATTGGTAATTGGGTAGCAAAGATGGTTCTATGGGAAAACCTTCAGACACAATGATGAACATGACTGGTCAAAGTATTCTTGTCACTAAATTCTTTCTCACACCCTTCACATTTATACATCTTCCATCCACTATGAAAATAAGTATGATTATTAAAGTCAATCTTTCTTGTGAACCTTTCCCCACACTCATCACACTGATACTCTCTTGTATGAAGAAGCTTATGGCTGTTAAGATGACACTTTTGTTTGAAGTCTTTCCCACATTCATCACACTTGAACTGTTTCTTACCTGGATGACTACGTTTATGACTGTACAGATGGTGTTTCAGAGCAAACTGCTTACCACATACCTCACAATTAAACTCACCTGTATGAACAAGTTCATGGTTACTGAACTCACACTCATTAAAGAAGACTTTACTACATCTTTTACATTCAAACATTGTTTCATTTGAGTGAATGGACAAATGTCTTTTGAGATTTTGCTTGGTAGTGAATTGTTTACCACATTCTTCACACTGAAAATTTTTCTCACCTGTATGAATAACCATATGAGTGTCGAGGTGACTCTTCTGATTGAACTTTCTCCCACATTCCATACATTTAAACTTTCTCTCATGCTTGTGAGCAATTTTATGAGTAGCAAGGTGTTCTTTCTTCATGAATTTTGCTCTACATGTCTCACATTCAAATATCTTATCATTGCTGGGTTCTGACACATCCATCTTGAACAATACCTATGGGGTACAATATATAGCTCAACAGAATACCTCACTACTCAACATACCTCTACTGTACTGTACTATGTTTAAGCTAGAAAATCACTGAATATACAGTATATATGAGGTGCTATATGAATTAAACTAACTACTGTCATCGTTATATCAATTCTTCCATCACAGCATACAATACTGTACATACTGCACAGTATATATATAATCCACTGTTAAGTCAGAGAAAGAGTCCAGGTTTCACCCCTGAGAGAGGTGGTTAACTACTACTACTTCTGGTGATGACTTGAAAGAACCTACCGGCATAATGCTGACTCCTTATCATCTACTAATATGAATACAATACAGTATTTCAGTGAGATTTTACAGCATCACAAGGTTCTTGACTTTGTCTCATATGAAAATTTCACTCATTCATTTCTTGGTGTTTCCAATGTTGTCTTGCTTTTCATAGGGTGACCTCAGTTCTGTACCTGAAATAGTATTTTTAGATAGAAGTCTCTTACACAATACTAAAGGCTGCTTCAGACATCATAACTTGTGACGATCATTCATACTTGCAATTACTACTGTACTGTATATTATTTTTGTTCCACCCAGCTTAGTTAGCAACAGAGTACATGTACAGTATACAGTACAGTACCGATTATTTAGAACAATCATCAGCATTATTCAAAATTGTACAAACATGATACACTAAAACTGTACATTCAGAACACTTAATCTTTGAGGCATTATCTACATGTACTCTTAGAGGGAAAAAGTAATCCTAATATCTTTCACTCTCACTCAATTCCCCACTAAATGAAGTGTACTAGATGCAATAACCTCTTTAGAGTTCAATAAAATAAAAATGCATTAATTCTGTACTCTGTAATATTTAAAATAGCAAAGACAACATAAACTAGTTGTAGTACATGACTAAATTCAAGTAACACATACCTTTGCTAAATTTGCAGAAACTGATATTAACTTGACTCTTAGTGCTGTGTTCAGCCGAAGTAAGTACAGTAGATTTTTATGCAATCCTGATGTTTCTTTTTGTCTTGTCTTGTCAGTAAGGGACTTCATCACAGTATCTGTAAGGAAACGATAGAAAAAAAATAGTCTTCTCTTTGTAACAATATTTTGCTAGACAATTGGAGTAATGTACAGTAGCTAAAACAACTATCTGTGCATACTTTGTGGGAAACAATATGAGACCATGGAAGATAAACTTTAGTACCTGTATATGAGGGCTGTCACTAGTCACACATAAAATTTCAGAGCATATCGACCCCCCACCTGCACAGATAGTTGTTTTAGCTACTGTACATTAAAATAATTAAAACCTGCAGCAATATTAACTAAAGTCTTAAAGATAACAATATACAATACAGTATATTATATTAACAATTATATAAGTTGAAAACCTAAGCAACGTTTTCAATCTAGAAGGAAGAAAGTTGAGAGAAAATAAAATGTAAAATTGCAAAATTACCATTTCACCAAACACTCCCAGGAGTTCCATTTTCTTTGAAGAACCAACCATTACTTGATACAAAGCAAACTCAACTGTTTGTCTGACATCTGTATATCTGGTAGACCCTCATGCTACTGAAGGCTATGGTGTAATCATAACAAAATGGAAGACTTGCACCGTTAAGTATAAAAGCGCCATTGAACATTGGCTTTCTTCTTTTAGAAAGACAAGAACTTTTATAATATGTACTGAAATGGATAGAATATATATTGCACTGTATACCCACCATAAATGACACCACTTTCCCAACATTTACGGGATTCAAATTAATCCATACTTAAGGTTTCCCCTTTATACTTAAGTGTTGACCCATCTGATTCAGAGTTCATACAGGGTGTCAACATCAGCTTCAACACTGTTAACAGTGAGTGTCATTATGATCAGTAATTATTGATGACTGATCAGCAGCCAATTTTTCATAGAAAACGATTATAAGAACGCCATATTTTCACTGTGTTATATTGTGGACACTGTCACAGTTTGTGAAAATGTGTTAAAAAGTGGTTATTTCTAAATTAAATCTAACCTAACCTGAGTTGAGATGAAAAACAAGCAGCAGAAGTGCTATTACAAGAGATCACCAACCTAACCTAACTTCCTAGCCGGGGAGCTTTGCCCCCCGGACCTCCCGGTGTATTAAAACAGAAAGAGCCGGCAATGATATGGTGTAATTTTAAATCTTTTGTGGATGTCAGAGCAGCTGCCCGTACCAAACGGTTCATACGCATACAATGAGCATCAGGGTTGATCCGTCCCGGGCGGCGGAGCGTTTTGAAATACTTCAATATGATTGGTTGTTTACATAGAAGACAGAGTAGTGCACGCCTAGGCGCCTAAATATCTACCAAAAGAAGCATTTGCACAAGAAATGATTATCATATCAGTACTCACTGATGAAAATAGAGTACGAAAATAAACAGCAAAACAAATAACTTGTCCATTGGTCAGTCGCCAATATTAACCCAAAATTCTTTGAGTGATGCAAGTGCATCAGTCGCATCGGTCAGGATCCAACCCTGGTTAGGTTAGGTAAGTTTGTTTGGTTGATTAGGTCAGGTTCTATTAGATTCTAGTAAATGTGGCCTCTTAAAACACTTACTATAGTGATAAGAAGTGATGAACATCTGTGGAAAAATAAACAAAATAAAACAACTCGTTCAGGTGGTAGTGCTGTTCTCAGACATACTTGTACAGTATACGTTTAGCACCAGCAGGTTTCCCACTAGCCTGTTGGTCCATGTACAGTACCACAAAAAATGACTAAGGTTGTGATCTAATTTGACGTAAATATGACAGAGAATGTTAAGAACGTTGGTGACAGGTCATATGAAGTCACCTGCTAATCATGGTGGGCAACAAAAAGCCGAAGGTTGAAGTGATCCCCCTTGTAAAAATTCTGTCAACTGTACTCACCTGCTCACACACCAACAGTTACCACAATTTTCCGCTTCTTGCTATATAAAACATTCTCCCGGTGGTCTGTCAGTTCAGATATCACCTCTAACGTGAATCCCAAAGACAATTTGTGTACGGTATGTAAAACTGTGGGCAGCCAGACAATATTTTTTTTTTCTGTTTACACACACACACACGTCAGGTGTTAGTCTAAAATATTTAAAACAAGATTGGTTACAGAAATCTGTATTAAAATCATAAACTTTAGATAAAATCACTATCTACTTAAGTATTAAATGATGCAGTTATTTTAGGTATATTGTTGTAATAATAATGATCAGATGTCAAAAACAAAATACTGTATAGAGTTTAGGCCAGCTACCTCTGTGCGTCATGTTCACATGTTAAATACCACACACTAGATGTGGCAGCACGTTATATACTACACACTAGATGTGGTTGCACATGTTAAATTCCACACACTAGAGTGGTAGCACATGTTAAATATCACACACTACATGTGGCAGCACGTTATATACTACACACTAGATGTGGTTGCACATGTTAAATACCACACACTAGAGTGGTAGCACATGTTAAATATCACACACTACATGTGGCAGCACGTTATATACTACACACTAGATGTGGTTGCACATGTTAAATTCCACACACTAGAGTGGTAGCACATGTTAAATACCACACACTAGAGTGGTAGCACATGTTAAATACCACACACTAGAGTGGTAGCACATGTTAAATACCACACACTAGAGTGGTAACACATGTTAAATTCCACACACTAGAGTGGTAACACATGTTAAATACCACACACTAGAGTGGTAGCACATGTTAAATACCACACACTAGAGTGGTAGCACATGTTAAATACCACACACTAGAGTGGTAGCACATGTTAAATACCACACACTAGAGTGGTAGCACATGTTCAATACCACACACTACTGTAGAGTGGTAGCACATGTTAAATACCACACACTACATATTAAAGGCAAGTTCTGGTGTGTGTGGGTGTCTGTGTCAAGACCAAGCTGCTGCAGATTTATTAGTTCAATGCATAATAATGCCAGTTGTATAATTCCCTGAACAGTCTGCCAGGCACTAAATGACGATGCAGTATTCTTAATAAAGTCCAGATCCTTGACGTTTGTGCACCAAATTATCCTCGTGAGCAGAAATATAAACGGTACAGTGTATACATTCTGCGTTGTTCATGTCTTGTTTCAGTGAGGATTGTTCTATTCTCCTAAGGTTTAGCCACATGCAGCACAGTATTTAGAAAAGATGAAGGAAAAGAATACATAGGATTGATTAGTACAATACATTACATGAAAGCCCAGGTAAGCTGAACCAAAATACGAAGTGTACCACATCCAGGTAGTAATTTAATTGATTTTATCACTGATGTACAGTTCCCTGCACTTATACTTAAGTGGTACAGTGGCTGCATTCTGGGTTGTAGGTTTAGATTACATTGTTTTTCAAGTAGGGATGCAAATTTATAAGCAGACAATCATGATAATTTATGCAATGGCTGCTAAGAATGTGGCTTATGACAGGAGTCTACGCAAAAGACAACTTGTAGTGGATACTCTCCCCTACAACTGACACTGCCATTAGTCGCTGATCAGCCAATCCCGCGACAAAGTTTCTCTGACAAGCCTAGCCGTCTAGACTAAGGGGGGTGTCAACACCGGCGACGCTTACTTCCGGTGGCCATGTATATAAGCTCCTAGCCTTGCCGTTGAAGTCCATTCTACTTAGAGCCCTGCAACACTCAACACCTCCTCTAAAGAAGCTCTGGCACAGCAACTCCTCTGCCATACAGCAACTTCCCAGCACCATACTGTTTTGTATATAATATATTTATATAAGAAAACTGCCATAGCCGAGTTTCCCTTCTCACCTCCATCCTATGTGCGATTCAACATCATGAAACTCCACAACCTCGTCCTCTAGACAACAACACGTTTTCTATGATGACATTAAATATTTATGGTAAAATTAAATCGAGAGATGGCGCAGTAGTCAGGGCTGAACGTTAATTGAATGTAGTACAAGTTTCTCTATACCTGTATATTCCTTCCTGGTATAACACACCATGGTGACGTTCACTAGCAAGCCATTTGCCTGAGTGAGCCGTGAAGGAATGATGTGTCGTGACTGGCTGTTATGTAGTGATTAATTTTTTTTAATTTTTTATTCAGTTATTTAAACACAAGCTAATGTCGCTACTGTCCTCAGTGGTTAGTAAATTTTTTGTATTTTCATTTTCATAATTAAGTTACATGTGATGTTGGGGAGTTGGTTAACCACTGCCATGTTAGTTTGTCAACTCAACAATCTCAGGGTAGCTGAGGTGCCACAGTGCAGGCACCAGTCTGGTGGCCCTCCTTTGGACATTTTCAATAACTGACAGTCCCTAGTTCTTATCATTATAGAATTTTAAGAGGCGACATAAGCAGATACATAAGTCAAATTCTTGGCTAATCTTGTTAAGTTACCATAATTTTTTTTACAACATTTAAATTTTCTTCTGAGAGGCAAGGCTTAATAGAGAAAACTTTTAGGTGTAAATACACCAACAAAGCTGGTATTGTACAGTGATTACTGATCTCAGTAAATATATACAGTACAATAGGCAAATAGACCTGTGTAACATATATTAACAGACAGTTTCTGTTGTCATTTATTTGGGTAAAGAAATAATAGCGTTAATTGCTATTTTAGACTGACCATTAAAGTCACGCTCAAAGGGAAGAACATGACTGATATTGGATCCCAAACTTGAAGCTCCTGATCCAGTCAAGTCTACAAATAAAAGAAAGGAAGATTTCAAGTGCAAAGAACATTAATTTTTTTTGTGTATAAAAGTTCATTCATTAAATATCTTCTGGTGCATCAGGGAGAAGAAAAAGTACAAATGTGAGGAATGTGAAACTCATTTGCTCAGAATGGAAGACTTAACTTGCACAAAGCTGTCCACATTGAAGAGAAAAACTCTGTGCGAGCAATGTGGAAAATGTTTTGCTCATAAGACTTTTCTAAGAAAGCATAGGCTCGTGCACAGTGGAGAGAAATTACAGATAAGACTTCTCTCAATAAGCACATATTTAAGCACCATGGGGAGAAAATGTTTAGCTGTAATGAATGTAGTAAACAGTTCTTTCTTAACACAATCCTGAGAATCCACTTGCTAGTGCATAGTGGAGAGAAAAAATTTTGATGTGAAGAATTTGGGAAGCTGTTTGCTAAGAGGTACCGTCTGACAAACAATCAGCTGACACACACTGGAGAAAAGGGTTTCAGCTGTCAGGAATGTGGCAAACTTGTTCCAAACATGCATTTACACACTGGAGTAAAAAAAAAGCGAGACTCTTTGCACAGGAGTGTGCCTTGAAAAACCATATACTTGTGCATAGTGAAAACAAAAATTTTAAGTGTAAAGAACGTGGAAAACTATTCATTCATAAGAGTTCCCGAGTGTACATATATTTGTGCACCAAAAACAAAAAGGTTCAGTTGTTATGAATGTGGGAAGCATCTCACTCACAAATGTAATCTTGGCAGCCATAACTTCTTAGACACAAAATTACAATGAGTGACATGATTATGAAAGAGTGTTGTGTATAAGGTGCAGTACAGTAATTGTTTATATAATTTTCAACCAAAAAGTTTACATAAATATATTTTTAAATAAAGCATTATATTTTTTTTTACTAAAAATAAATAGTACAGTAAAATACTGCAGTAAAAAGGAAATTTATGGATTATAAGAAAGGATAGAGTAACATGGTCAAGATTTGGGAAAGGAAAAGATAAATACAGTACAGTACAGTATGACACTCAAATCGCATACCCTGATCTCCATTTTCTACTGGCTTTCTGGGGACATTTGGCACTGTGATCACTTTGTGAATAAATAATGTACTTGGCAAAAAAGCATATATAGGGGGCTTACCAGTATCCTAGGTGGTGACAATCCTAATGGTTAGGACAAGTTGGAGACTATTTCACCTGCAACTTGAAAATACTGATTAATTGGGTTGGAAGGAAACCCTTAATGCAACATCAAAATGTATTTTAAACATTCTGTAGACCTATAAACATTTATCAACAGTACAAAAGTAAATGGAAGCTTCAAAAGGTACTCTAACTGTACAATTTTATATGTTTTGAAAACTATTAGTCATTTGTACTAAAATATGAAGCGTAATTTTTGTTGTGGCTGTTCCAGGATGGGACTGATAGTATTGAGGTGGTGTCTATTACGTCATTATAAAGTGATAAACTGGGTAGCTAAACCAAGAGCTATCTGGGAAAAAAACAAAATTCGTCCTAATCTAATTTAATCAATTTGGCATCACAAGTTTTAGATAAGTTAATTCCTCTCAGAAAAAGATGTAACTGTACTGTACAGCATCTTTTGCCCTTTGACAAAAATTACAAACTCCTGGGTACCATTTTGTAGTACAGTACAGTATACACAGAATAAAACTGGTAATTGTGTACAGTACATTGTGAGGCATCAGAACCTACCAATTTGAATCAGATTTAATCATTATAGTTGTTTTAATATAAGTGTCTTCACAATATCTTACTGAGGAGTTGTATCAGCACTTCAAAGTCAGCATGATATCATTTCTTGAGTCTGTATAGGTATCTGTCATTTAGCGATTAGGATGCGTCCCTGAAAACATATTGCTAAGCGCAAAGAAGCAAGAAATGATATCCTAAACAAGGGATAACGAGGAAAAATATCCATGGAGATGGCATGTAATTGTGTACTCGATTTAGCGACTGGCCACCCAGTAGCACTCACAGCGGGTGAGGCTGAGCTGTGATATAAGTTATTGTTCAAATCGTAAATTCGGGTAGATACATGTAATTTTCTCCATTTTCTTTTATTACTTTACATGCACACACAATCGTTCATACAGAATGTGCAAACAATAAAATAAAATTATCATCATAAGGTCAAAAACATAAGGGACATGATCAGCAATTAACCAACAGAGCGGGGGAGAGGAGCGAGGAAAGGCATGGGGGATCTCTTAGCTGTTCTGTCTTGTCCTGTGAAATGATTGCCAATGCAGTACAAGGTGTATTTTCTCAATTCTTTTATTTATTATTATTATTATTATTATTTATTCCTAACATTTACTGTTATAGTATACAGTACATGCGACAGATTCACCAAGTTGACTCGAGAGACGTGTGTGGTTGCTGCCTGTATGCCGTGACCTCACATAAAGGAGGGGAAGACTGCGGCTGGCTAGTCACTGCCTCAACACAGAACTTCACTTCCCACTTCATTTTATAGTACAGTATACTGTACTGTATACAGTATTGTAATGATGGGCACTTGGAGCACAGAATCCCCAGTTTTTCCAACTTCCCTCCTAAATTTTTTCCATCGAGTCAAACATCACTAAACCGAAAATTGTAGACTGAATGCAGATAATAATTGTGACAACACTTAATAATTTGTAATTTTCAACTGCACCCAGTTATACTGGGAAAATAAGGATACTAATAGATATTGTTATTTGGCTCTCAGTAGTTGTAGATGGCAACATAAAAAATGCCAAACACATTTTTTTTATCTTTAGACCCTAAATATACCAAACAGATACATTGGCAAGAATCTATATGAAATTCCCCCAAGACCCTATTTAATGACACAACAACACATACAGTTTCTGTCTTCTCCATGCTCACTTATCATCAATATGATAGTACACATTAATCCCCTTACCATCATCTCTTAATATATGGCCAAAGTATCTCATATCTTAGTACCACTACCTGTATTTGCATAAGCTATTTTACCAATATAACTTAAATTTAACATTCACCTGTAGCACCACATTTTAAAGCCTCTAGCCATTGTGCGAACCATATAACAGTAAAGTATTGACAACACAATGCATTTCGGTGGCCCTTTTCTAAAATTATAATTCATCATCATTTTGAACAGTTCTGCTCCCTCCACCCTATTCATCACGAGATCATACATCACCCCGTAAATACAGATGGCACAGAATATCCTGCTCATAAGTTCTCACTGAATAACTTTTTTCTCTTCTCTCCAAGCATATTGTCACAGATCCCATCCTAAATATAAAGTCATCATTATCCTTAAACAAGTCTACATTATCCTTAAACAAGTCTCCATTATCCTTAAACAAGTCTTCAGTATCCTTACACAATTCTTCATTATCCTCAAACAAGTTTTTTTTTAACATGGTGTGATCCCATCCTGTAACCCCTGTTTACATACACTTACATACCTATATACCTGATCCACACAACAATCTTACATACAGTATATTAATCCATGCATTTTCACACCCAGTTACAGAAATTTTACACTTACAAATCCCTACCAGTACATTACTTACATTTTGGAACATAAAATGACATACACACAGTACATACAACACACATATACAGTACATACATGAGTAATAAATACACAGTACAGTATATCACAGCAAACAGTGTAACTTTACTGCAAGTTCTACACAACAACATGACACAGTACACAAACTTTTTCAACCACTGTATATGAACAACAGTAACTCTAATTACATCAACACCACTCTACCTTTACCACAATTTTTGAACTGATACTCTTAAAGTTGTTTGCATGTGTTTTGAAAATTAGTGTAAATGCTAATTCTGTATTCAAATTTCCAAGATTCAAATAACTATGAATTAGAAATAAATAAATTAATAATAGGCAGCATGAGGAAATGATATACAGTGGGGTATGCTATAACGAACGGATCCTACTACGAATATTCCTATAACGAACGGTTTTACCTATAAAATTGAGAATGCTATAACGAACGCAACTCCTACAACGAACGCGGATGAATACGGGACTATTTCGCCTGGCGCATGAATATTGTTGTACCGCGATCCACAACAAGAGCGTCAGGCGCCATGTTTTTCTCATTGTGTAGCCAGTGCACCACTGTTATTGTTGAAATTTCGTCTTTTAATGTGGAAATTCGCGTTATTTGTATAACTATTTTGTTGTACAAGTATACAATTGTAACAATGAATCGTCCAAAGCGAGTGAGAAAGCTAATAACCCTTGAAATTAAGAAAAAAATTATAAAGAAACGTGAGAATGGAAGAAGCATTGCGAAACTTAGTGATGTATGGGATGGCTAAATCGACTATATGTACGATTTTGAAGAATAAAGGGGAGTTAAAAACTGTGCAAGTGGCTAAGGGAATCTTTAGACTTAGCAAAGCAAAGTGTAATGTGATTGAAGAGATGGAAAATTTACTCTTAGTGTGGATAAAGGAGAAAGAAATGGCAGGTGGTAACATTAGTGAAGCTATAATTTGTGAGAAGACTAAACAATTGTTTGAGGACCTTAAAGCCAAGACTCCCAGTGGAAGTGATAGTGTTGTGCCAGTGTTTAGGGGTACCTGCATGCTGAATAACACTAAGGTAAGATAAAGTTCCATATTTTTTACATTTTCCACAGAATTTTTTCAGTGTTAAGTGGTTGTATTTGGGGGCCTGGAACGGATTAATCCTATAACGAACGAATGCTATAACGAACGAGGTTCTGGAACCAATTACGTTCGTTATAGCATACCCCACTGTACAGTAAACCACATCTTGATTAAAACACATTGTAAAATTAGTATGGTACATAAGCATTCATGAAAAAGACCCTGAGTACTAAAATTCCTTCAAGTGACATCTAACTCTTTAATTTCTAAGCGACACATAGAATTTAGTAATACAGGTTGTACCTCTCTAGTCCGGCAACCTCGGGACCTGACCGGTGCCGGACCATGGAAATTTCCGGACTATGGAAATTCACCCTCGAAACACCCTACATAAAGCATAAAAACATAAGATAGGAAATAAATAAATAAGAAAAAGTAATAATGTTAAAATACTATTTCCTTTACCTTTAATGCTACCATAATTCTGCTTCCAAAGTGAAGGGATGGTACTGTAACTCAAATGTAATTTGAGTTACATCAGGGATGTTGGCTATTGGGAAAACTAAAATCGTTCCGGACCACGGTAGTTTTCGGACCACAGAATGCCGGACTAGAGAAGTACAACCTGTAGATCAATCACATGTTTATTTACTGTTTTTTAAATGAAAATTTATTATTCCGACAGAAGACCCACTTCATTTACCAAATACTCTATCTAGAATTTACATCAGTAGCATACAGTGCAACATGGGCTATCTAACTGTGTGGCCTCACAAGACTTTACCATTTTGTTAAGTATTCATAACGTATGCCCTTCAACTGTGGTTTATTAATGGTGTACAGTCAGTTTTTTTTAGGGGGGGGGGGTAATTACCCAATACACACACAATAATAAAGAAAGTTAAGGTGGTGCTACTACATGTGGCCAGTGTGAGTCACCAGGTATAGTTCCTCCTCTTGAGGTGTGTATTAAGCTAATTTCCATATAGTTGACATAAAGCACAAGACAAATAATTAAAACCACTAATAAGGTAATCAATGACAATGACAAAAAAATCGTAGGGCATTTTCACCTCATTATGCATCTTCATTATTCCCAGTAAAGACATGCATACAGTACCTGGATTTAGCTGAAGGCTACTGTACTGCAGTAGAGGTCACTGAGTTAACTTTTTCAGCTATGAACTAGAGGGTTAACATGCCATCTAATGCTGTAACAATACCAAGATTTAACTTTTTTTAAAGTGCAGGATAACCCAGCACTAGAATGTATTCAGATACATCCAACAACCTGTTTTTATCCAGTACAGTACTGTACATGCCAAAAATACACAAGCAAATTGACTGACCACCCAATCAGCTAAAAAGCTGACTTAGTGGAGAATAGGATAAGGCATAAGACTCTAATTCACTCAACTAGTATATGTTAATGCACTATACAGTATATTTTGGATTAGTTATGAGTTAAAACTACCGTAACTACTGCAAACAAATTTGGGAGTCTGCACGGCTCATTATAACTGACCCATTTAATTCTTTTAATATCCCCATTCATTATTTTGTTTGCAAACCTTTTCCTAACCCTTCATTACATAAAAGACAAGTTATAACCCTATACTTTAGAGGTCATCATTACAAACATGTAATAAATAAAGCCTCTTGCTGGGCCTTTCATCATGACACACAAGTGATGTTATACTTCTCATCATTCTACCTGTACAAACCTCTGCATCACCGAAGGCTTTCCTTACACACAGAGAATACACTACATCTCTATACTGTATTATTAAATCCTGAAGCTCACCTTCATTACCATAAATACAGGATATGTGTATAATGTATTATAAGTCTTCAATGTGCTGTATCCACACTGCACCTTGCCATGGCTATGAGAGTGGGACCCAATTTTACTTTACCTAGTGGTGACCACAATTTACAGTACCTGTATATGTTTATAATTGTACAGATACATGAATTATGATCTGGACAAGGAAAGACAACAGAAAACTGTGATGGCAAACTTTTTAAGAGAGATAATTGTCAACTCTTGGAACAATCTGCCAGAGTGTGTGAGCTCTTTCAAGACCAGACTTGACCAACACTGGAGCAGGTTCAAATACATTCAAGAGCCAGTACATGCCCAGTACTTGCCAACAGTGTGTAACAGAGATGTGACCGATCGCCCAAGCGGCTAACCAGCCGATCAGTGGCGAAGAAGATAAGAGTATGACTGACCACCCAAGCGGCTAACAGGCCGATCAGAAGATAAATGTTAAGTAAAAGTAACACCTTCATCTTTTTCAATAAAGATAAATAAAAATAGTGACTTTATGTACAGTACATGATTACTGCACTGTACAGTAAATGGTTTTATAGGTAAGAATCTCCATCCTGAATATCTTAACATTCCTTCCTCAGGGCAAACTTATTTTACTAGTTGCCAGAAAATAAAGTGAAATATGCCATACTTAAACTAAAATAAGCAAACCCAATCCAGTGCGAAATACCAGTGTTGTTCCTCAAACCAATCTAAAACATGAACGTAAACAGAAACACTTAAATTCAACTACAGTTATACTTTATAAAATTAGATGTATAACAGAACACCACACTGGTTATCAATACTTAAATCAATCTATCAATCTCAAATCTATTTTTGAACAATAAAATCCACTCACCAAAATCTATTTTCTCAAACCAAACTAATTAAACCTGAATCTAATTCATGTACAGTCATCTCATTAATGTAACTAAGCTATCTGGCCTACTTCAACCTCACCTAAAAAATAATAATTTAACACAATCTCAGCTACTCCATATTCATCCAAACTTGACTGAAATTGGGACCAGATTAAATTAACCTAATTTCTTCTAAACTTGCTACATGTAGTTGTGTCAAACCTTAAAAAGCACAAAATTAAACAGAGGAAACAACCTTTTTTTTCTGTTCAAATAAATAAATAAATAAATAAATCCTCTCATTATCTCTTCCTCTTATCAAGGTTATACATGCACATAGCATGAGATCCCATGTTTTTGCCAAAAGCATGAGATGAGTAACCTGTGAGACTCTGCTAACTACTATACAACACCCCCTGGCAGGGCCTGCCTTGTCCACAGGGCTCTCACATGTTGAAAAGATTACATTTCCCAATGAATGAATATACTGTACTGTACAGTACATTACTACACAGCTCCTTGTCCACCAAACCCAGATCAAATCAATGACTTAAACTCCCAAGTCCAACTGCATCACTGGATCAAATATAATGCATCCTTTATCCAGTGGGGTGAAATATGGAGCACCCTGACCCAGTGGGGTCAAATATGGTGCACCCTAACCCTTGGTGCACAGCTGGGGAGAGGCTGTAACAGTTGGCACTGGGCAAAGAGGACCCAGTGGCGTAGTTTGGCACAGCCCAGGGCCATGGTACGGGCACTCCTTCCTTGACTGCTGAAAGACACGCCCTGAAACCCAATATCAAATTACAATCAAGATCAATTAATATTATACAATGAACTATAAATTTACAAAATCAATATTTAAGGAGAGTGAGTGTAATATGAATCATCTGACATTAAGTTAACTAACATGTATGACTGTGATCAGTACACCCGCACTAGACGTACCCCTCCACGTGTGCAACATCTGTGGACGGCCTGCCGGTCCTGCATTGGCCCCTCGAGTCACATCAGAGCTCATCAACGAAGATGACATGTCTAATAACTCATCATTGTATCATAGCTCGATTCCAAGTGACAGCAAAGTAGTAGTGTAGTAGTAAGGGGATAGTACCCGGTAGTTGATGCTTTAATAAATCAAACCTATGTAGGTAATTCATGAGAGCATCACCACTGCCACCAGAAAAAGTTGTTTGATTTCGTTAATATTTTCACAGATATTTTTATCATTATAATGAGTATTTCAAATGATGACAACTTTTTATTTTAATTCTAAGTACGTATTTAAAAAAATGTAGTTTTTCTCTATCTACGATCATAAATCACCTGTAGTGGGCAGAGGATGAAGGATGAGGGAAATTGCGGGATAAAACACGCTGAAAAACTGATCATATGGTAGTAAATTGATGTCTCTACATGTTTTGTACATGAAGATATTAATTATTTACCATATATATAACTGATGAGTCATTGTGTCATTTATTTGTGTACAACTGATTTGCTTGGTCCGAGCATACTCTCACATCCACAAAAAACATAAATTACACCATAACGTTTCAACAAAGTTGTTTTCATTGTTACCAGATTTAAGTACCGTACTTTTGGTATTGATGCATTTTCAACCAATATGCAGCGAAGGTCGGAATTATCTCGCTTATTATTCAATTGTGACAAGTAAAAGTAGGGTTAAGAAGATGGTAAAATTTTAGTTTTGGTCATCCCTCTATTTAGTTATCCATCCTAACCTAACCAACATAACGTAACCTAACCAACATAACGTAAACTAACCAACCTAACATAACCTAACTTAGCTGCAACACCCAGAAACTACTGTATATCTAACCTAACCGGGGGGGCCTTTGCTCCACCAGACTCCGTCTTTCTGGTGGGGGTTAAATTCCTAAGATTCCCTGGACGACCGAAACTAAAATAATACCCAGAAGATAGCCTACCAAGTAGCTCTCAACGAGATTTGTTCATTTTTTAAGTCTAAGACCTTTAGCTGCATACTGGTGGAAAATGTAACAAATCCAAGGTATTCATTCTACAGTAGGTTAGGTAAGTTTTTTTTTTCGTTGATCAATGTGTTTTTCCTGTTTTTTTTTTGTTTTATTCGATTTTGATATTAATTTTTTGTTGGAAATCACTTGGGGGGGCCAGGGGGAAGGGGGTATAAAAAAACCCGAGTGATATTTGACAAAAATCATCGTAAAGTTCGAACAAAACCCATCAAAACCCATAAGAAAAACACATTGCTCAACTCAATGAGTCATACTGGTTGAAAATGCAAATTTACTTTCTGTTTAATATACAGGTACTGTGTACTGTATATGGCTGGGGGTCTGAGGGGCAGAGCTCCCCGGCTCTGAAGTTAGGTTATGTAGGGTTCTTTGGTTCTATTAGGTTCTAGTAAATGTTGCCTATTTTAAAATACTTACTATAGTGGTAAGAACATGTGGAAAAAATGAAGAGAATTAAACAACTCCTTCTGGTGGTAGAGGTGTTTTCACTCTACCCAAAGTTATGTCAACATATCAGAATTTTGTGTATCACAATTTTAAATGCAGCTCAAATTTTACATGAACAATCATATGAACTTACCATTGGGGTAGATAGCCAGCAATTCATAATTATCACGAATAAGTTGAAGTATGACAAAAGCACTCGTCTTAGTTTGTCTCACTTAATTGTTATTTAACAGTGCCTGGACTCTACTATCGATATTTAGTTGTCAGTGCTCTTCTCTTGTGCATTCCCAGCCGCTCGAGTACTTTTCTTCTGATGTAGTTCACAATCTGTATCAACAATATTATCATCATCTTGTATCAGAGACGTCAAGGAGTACAAAGATATCTTTTTTTAAATAACGAGTGACTGCGACACGGCCGACCTTCTCACCCTGTCGTCTGCAAGGTGTGAACCCAGTACTGAACCCCTTCCCGGGATAGCAAAGCCAAATATCAAATTAAAGAACTTTCCTGATAGTGCTCATATTATTTATGGTTTTGTGAATGGATAATGGTGTTTTGTTATTTGCCGTCCAAACTTTACTCCAGTTTACTTCAGCATCCAAGACTCCAGCAAGTGATGGCAGGTCATCTCGAAAATAGTCCAAATTCCCTACATTCAGAGGGCCACACACCAGTATAAATGGAACTGATTTTAGCCGCCACTGACTCCTCTCTGCCAGTTATGAACTTTGTATCTCAGCAGTGTTAGTGATTCTGGCCCCTTACCTGTACTTTGTGGTCAGGAAATGGAACTCTTAGCAAATGCCTAATACTCTTCGGCTGTCTCAGCAGGAACATTGCCTGCCTCGTCAGTCTCCCACACAGCCTGAGGACTTTGTGGTAGTCTTCTGCATTTTTCCAGAAATCCTGAAGGCACGAGGTAACTAAAATACACCTGGCGAAATACTCAACCAACTTCATAATTTTTCTTTGCAGACTTATGGAAGCCTTTGATGCAAGGAAGACACTTGTGTATAATGAAGTAAATCCACAATATGGAAACTTTTAACTGGGACGGTTACGGGTCTATTATAAAGGACCTAACAGGCTGACCCATGACAACTTAATCGTATCAGTGCCCAATAGCCTTCAAAATCGTATTAATAACACATAAGCTAATAGGGAACTATAAATGATTTGGAACAACTTTGACTAGAAGTTATTTTTCGATACAATTAATACTTTAGCAGTTATTTTGCTTTTAAGTTTTCGGGATATGGCGACTATTTCACAAGATGGCAGCCATTTTACAAGATGGCGACTATTTTACAAGATGGTGACCATTTTACAAGATCGCAGCTTGAAAAATATGTCATTTTGAAAAATGGCTGATGTAGAACTACCAACCTTTCAGCAACAGGTCGAGGAACACTGCTCAGAAAACCTTGAATACCATCGCCCCCATGGCTAACGAGTTTTTTTTTTTATACCGTACACAGCAGATGGATGAAAACCTATGGTGTATTGTGACTGTGCTCTTATAATATTATACAAGTACTGTACAGACCACATAGGCAAAGATTCTCAATGAGACCTTTACTTTTCCTCTCCACACTAGCATACACAGTTGAAGGTTTTACTTCAAGAAAATAGTTAATGCATTTTTTAATACACAAATATTAAATCTAGTTCACTTAGAAGTCTAGTTCTTGACATTTAAATGGGTTTCTTTATATTCATGTATAGAGTCCATATGTAATTATTGCCAGACGCTGCTTCTTGTCGTCACAGGGCCCTTGTGAATCAAGTACCATTTGGCATAAGTTACTCTACAGTACCTCTTATCTTGTGTTTAAGTTGACCAATATTAATTTCAAAAGCTACGTCACAACTACACTTCGGGAACATCAACAAACACTACCTCTTACAGTGTAGTGGATTTCTCCCCTACAAACGCTGTTTGTCGCCGAGTAGCCGACCCCACCAATTCCCCAGTGTATGCCTCGTGGTCTAGGTCAACCAGCGCCGCCATACATCACGGAGCGGGGGTCAACTACTAAGCCACGCCTACCCCCGCTATTTAAGACCTGACCTCGTGGTGACCTGTCTCTTTCTACCTACACCAACCAGCCAGCAACACACCTCCTCCTCCGCCGCTGCCTGGCGGCCCTCGCTCCTCCTCCGCCTGCCTGGCGGTCCTGGCTCCCGCCGGCGAGCATGGCGACCCACAGGCTGGTCCTCCTCTGAGCACCCTCACCAGCCAGCTCTCTCTACATCACGCTTGTAACCATGCTGCCTTCCCAGCACCAAGCTGCATTGTACATCCAATACAACATGTATATAGAGAGCACATTGTGAGTTTCCTTTCTCCAACCCATCCTGAGTGTGAACCAAACATCCAAAACCCCACACCAGAATGTAATGCATGTGCATTCTTTTACTGCAAATTAAAAGATTTACTAATTAACATACTACCGTATTTAAATATTTATAATAAAACTAATGCATTTTTATACCTTAAAACAGAAGATAATCCTGTCAAATTTAAAGAACAATGAAATAACATAATTACAAATTCCTCTTCATGGCTCTGAAGGCTGCAGACATCCAGGACCACTGAGCTCTGCTACAGTTATCACATCTAATTTCACTATTGCAGTTTACACACCTCCATTACCCAGCCTGAAATAATTATTAGCTTTAATGTCTATATCATTGTTTCTGCAATACATGTACACTGTACTTTGTAACAAGTGCTACCCTCATTTCTGTAGAAATGGAATCATGCCATTCTGGTAACTTCAGCTCAAAATGATGTTCAGCCCAAAATATAAACTAATTCGGCTATAAATTCTCTTCCAACAGGGTAAGAGACATAGCTCATGTCAAGCCAAAAATTTTAGATTGTAAGTCCATTATACTGTATCTAAAATATGATAATTTACTTCACATCCAACTTACTAGTTAAGTTTAACATCTGACCACCTGAAATGATTAAGATTGCATGTTAAGTCAATGTCTATTTCAGCAATACTGTATACCATTTCTAAGTGTATAAACCTTGTGTGCACTTTGACTTACATTATATGGATGATACACATTGAGATTTACTTTAATCATATTTCTCAACGTACTTTTAAATGTTAATAATTACTTTACACCAATTTATTGTAAGCCTACACATAAATCTACTAAAGTTTGGCACAAGTTTGTGAATGTGCATCAACAATTACAATAACCCTTATTATGTAAAATTAAGAAGATAGCTAGAAGTTCTAGCCATCCCCCCACACACAAGGTGTCTTGGGTGTTGCAGGTGATCAAGGTGCTAGTCTTGGGTGTTGCAGGTGATCAAGGTGCTAGTCTTGGGTGTTGCAGGTGACCAAGGTAATGTACTGTATACACGTGTGTAAGGATCACACACACACACACACACACACACACACACACACACACACACACACACACACACACACACACACACACACACACACACACACACACACACACACACACACACACACACACACACACACACACACATACATTACATTACATTACATTACATTACATTACATTACATTAATACTTAAATTTGGCAGGATTATCTTGGATAAACACTGTATAATCCAAGAATAAAATAAAGTCAGCTTTAACAAACATGAGATTTTTTTATTTTGCCATATAATACAGAAGTCTAGAATAACACTGCAAGGAACAATCCACAGTTTTGTTGATACTCAGGTCGGGGAAGTCTGCCAGATCACCTCATAATTATAGTAACACAATATTTGAACATTTTTTTCTTTTTCTCATAATACAAATGTACTATGATATGTTCACACCTCCTATTACAGGAATGAGATGACCAACTCTGTATGATTTACCCCTTAATACCTTTAATGATGGAGAAAACTCTCTAAGGCGCTTAGTCTTAATTTTATTATTCTGGGTTTTATAGCAAAAGTTATAGTTTCTGGAGAAAAATCCCTTTTCCATCAAGCCCTCAGCTGTGATGAGATGCAAGAACAGTACAGGTTGGCAACATCTGCATTTCTTTGTTTTAAGGAGGGGCTAACACCACCTATCTTATCTTCACTTCTCCTCACCACAACTTCCCTGGCCAGTGGAAATATCTGAATCACTTCTTAATACTGATGTATACATTACAAGTCAACAAACATGTGGGAAATCATTAAGTAAAGAGGACTCAGCCATTCCTGTAATCACAAACAACACTCTCTTCTCTCAAGTAATACTATTATAACTGGGGTGTTTCTACATTACCTCAAATAAAAAATGAAGCTATTGGCGTAATAAAAAATATAATTCCTTATTGCCTAAAAAATTCTCCAAAAAGATTCATCACATTCAAATATTACTCCGTGATTTCCCACATTCGGTGAGCCGAGGCCAGTACAACATGTGGCCCCGGCAGAGGTGTTACACACTATGTTGCACAAACACTCAATACTCTCATGTCTCATATATGAGTCACCGGCCAGGCAGCTGCGTATGTCTTGATTTGTACAGTCGCTGCTCCCTCCAACCCGTGCCTCATACCATTCCGCACGCCTGCCAGTGAACAGCCTAGCTCAATACTAAATATTGCCCGAGCACATGTTGCTCGTCTTTATACATGATGACTTCATTATACCGAGGTAATTTACCTATATCGAATTTATCTATATCTAGTAGAGATATAAATAAATAATTAGATGAAATAAAATGCAGATAAAAAAAATAACTTGTAATAAATTCCACACATAGCCAACATCAAGCAAAAGGAAATATGAGAGAGGTGGACACTGTGATCACACTGTAGGGTTGAGTTTACCAGCTGATGGATGTCAGGTCCATTGTATATACAGGCCTGTTATTCAAATGATGAAAAGTTCAATGAACACCAATAATATTCTCCCCGCAGTGGCAAATAAGATACAGCAAAATACATACTAACAGGTCAGTTAGTAACTGTCAGTTTGGTGATACAAGAGAAAGAAAATTCAGTCATTCTGAGAGAAAAATCCTGGAGGCAAGTATGTAAATGTTACCACAAGTAGTAACAAAATGTTTTGTATACAATCCAAATTTATCTTTTAGAGTAATTGAATACCTAAGTTTGGGGGGGTTTTCTTTGGTTTTATGATGAGCATACAAAAGTGAGATACTGTACATTTACTTATACAGTATACAATTTTGGATTACTTCTGATACACGGAATAACTAATCAATAGTCTGGTAGAGTATAATGTGTCAAGTGGTCTAGAGCGACTGACCACCAATTTGGGATGACATGTCAGTAGTCTCTGGTAAATTCTACAGTTTAAGACAGCTTGCCAATATGTGAATTAACACTTACATCACTTACATGCTTGCTTTTACTTGGAACAAGAGCCACTAACTTTATCAAATCAAAATATAGTCTCTCATATGACAAAGATGAAAGACAATATTATTCTCAATAGTTCCACCTCACCCATAATGGACTTGTCGTCAAGAATACCTTCTCATTTGAATGTCAAAATACAGTACAGTACAACAATAATTACCTGCCAGTATTAAGGTGCTTAATATACTTGATTCATTTCACCTTTTGCTTGATATGTTTTTTTAAAGGGTGCTCCATTTTTTGGGGGGAAAGGTCTGTCTTATGAGCCAATTTACTGTATACACTATCTACAGTAAATCTTCAAGTTAGTTACATAAATCAAGGTTTTATTGGTTTAATTCACAATTAAAATCACAGGAACTATGCCTTTATTCATTGGACAAGCCCAATAAAAACTAATAGGGTGCAGCGACCTAAGGGTCACTATTATATGCCTGGGATTCCCCAATTGACCCACTTGTGAAAGGGCATCTGAATTTTAAGTTGCAAATGTAAAGGTGATCAAGTGCAGTGCTGGCCACACAGCTTCATTGTGCACCAAGGCTTAGTATTCAACGTGCAGTATTTGCACTGCCCCTAATGGACCAAGAGACCTTTGGGACCCACTTTCAATAAAAATTAGATAATTTATTTCCTACATGACTGGTCACAACATTTAAGTACTACGGCACGTTACACAGGAGCTATCCTCAACCAGAAGGCCAGACTCTAGCTAGCAAAACTAGTTCATGGCAGGTGCGGAGAAGTCGACTCGGGGGAGGTCAGTAGACACGATCAGTTTCATAATAAAATAATACATACTGCATCATTTACTGTACACTACATATTTTAACTTGCACAACAAATAATTGCACAATCTACTGTACAAGTTATATAACAGAAAACAATGACTTTGTGACATTACATATTTACATTGAGTGGACATGTCCCACTAGAGTAAACATTATCGCATCCACATAGGAGCGCACACACCCAAACATTCACGCACACAAAAGATTGCACGTTCACAACACACTACAGAGGTTCATCTGTCCCTATTGCTGTTCTATTTACAGTTTGAAAAATTCTTATTCCTGTGATTGCCTTTTTGCAACCTGCAGTTTACAAGTACAGTAGTTAAAAAATGAGGAGTTGGCTCATACTTGACATAGCCAGGACAATCCAGAGAGAATTTTTATATTCATACTTTCAGGTTGTAATATTGTACAACACCTTCCGTAAGATGATAATCAGGCACATAGCCAATATCAATACACACTGTACTGTCAATCTATCCAATGATTCCCTTTGATCATTTTTACAGCAATTACAATACCCATCTAACTGAGGCAATATAATGTGCCATGAGAACATCTTTTTTTTCCCAGGATATAAATGCATTTTACAAACTTTGGTTTCTAAGCAACAGGACATACTGTATTTCGTGCATCCACGATCAGTAGGGGATATGAGGGGCACCTCAAGCCTCACGAGAACAATGTGACGCAAGTGGAAAAATAAGTTTCAGTTACAGACAACCAATGGATTATATCTTTACACTTTTAAACATATATGTACACAGTTCCCTTCATTCTTAAGCACTTGGTGAGGGTGTAGCCAAAAGTCAGAAAAAAATTATTTAAACTCCTATTTCTTAGAAGCTTGGTAATGGTAAGATCCAGTTAGCTTGTGGCCAAGTTTGTACCCAGACCTACATCGTCACAGCCTAAAATAACTTGATCTCCATTATTCAACATGTCTGATTTTGATATTGCTGTTTCTGTGCCTATTGTCTACCAATGTACAATAACACATTCTATCAATGCCATAAATCAAAACCTTAATAGTGAACAGGGATAAAGTTTGTTAAACAAGCTGTGCATGACCTAGGAACTGGCGCAGTGCAAGGAACAGCAAGGAACATCTTATATTAGTCAACTCATACACACAATAACAGACCCTTCATCTAAGAGCGAGGAACTCTTGTCATCTGTAGAGGTGCACTTCTAAGGAAGTGTCGACACATCCCATGAACCAGCAGCATTCTATATTTATAACAAAACAACAATGAAAAGGCTAATTTAAACAAATCAAAATGGGAAAAAACACCTCTGCTTCACCAATATCAAACTCAGTCCTGCAGTTAAGTAGATAAATTAAGATTACTGTCTGTGAACAATAACATGGAACAAATAAAATGCTCAACATTATCTTTTTTTTAACGGTGAATTAAAAATTATCTAATTTCCTTAACAGGAAAAAGAAAATATTCGATGACCATTTGAAATTGTCATCTTGAACCAAAAGCTATTCTTCCTTGAATTAATTTACTTTCCAAATTATATATTCGTTGAATTTTCTAGTGTAAGAAATGACAAACCAAGATATGAAGAAGTAGTCTTTGTAGGTAAATACAGACTCTTAATACACAAAGCTACATCCAAGCAAACTTTTCCTGATAAGTTTGCAAATTATTTTTTGGGTCCAACTTTCAAGAGAGATTTTAAATTGCTATTGTAAATACAAAAAAGGTTTTCAGGGTTGGTTAACGGGTGTTCCAAAAGATTTTCACATGAATAACCAATGCTGTCAGGCATAAGATCACTGGTAAACTTAATAAAATATGACACAGCCAATAAAATCCAATGTACAGTGAGTTCTGCTATAACGCGTGTTTTGATAACGCGAATTTGCTCTAACGTGATTTATGAATTAGGAACGATATTTGTATAACGCGAACGCTTGTTTGCTATAACGCGATTTTTGCTAACTATTTCTCCAATTTTGTGGTATTAACTGTGAACATGGTAAAGAAGAATATCTCCAAGAAGCGTTCTGGTGATAGAATTCCCGGTGATGATCGTAAAAGAAAGGATATACAGTGGCCCCTCGGTTAACGAACTCAATCCGTTCCAGAAGGTCGTTCGTTAACCGAAACGTTCGTTAACCGAAACCATTGTTTCAATGGGTTTTTGGGTAATTGGTTCCAGCTCACCGAAAATTTCCTAAATTCAACAAAAATGGTAGAAAAGTTCACTTACTTTGAGGTGTGTATGTAGAAGGCTCCTGGATGATGATGATGATGATGGGATTTAGAATGGGGGTGGAGGAGAAGGAAGAAGAGAAGGCATTGGGGTGGAAGAGAAGTCACCCCATGGTGCCATTTCACCCATAAAATTTTAGCTCTCTGGTTTAATTCAAGATTATTTTCTTTAAATCAACGCTGCACTGCATTATATATTGTCAATATATAAAATATATTTCAAAATGACCAATAATTTGCTTGGAAACACAGAAAAAAAGCGTTTAGTTGAAGAGAGTCTCAAGCAAGATGTTACCTCCAGTGAAAACAGAGAGAGACTGACGCCTGTTTGCTGTGTTAAGAGGCTGGATGCCGCGCATTAAACTAGTCACTTTACCTTCAATTTTGTTCAATAATTGTTAAAATGACTAAAAAATTGAATATTAAACTTTTAAAATTATTGAATAGTATAAACTTCTTGATATTTACAAAAATAGTAAGGAATTTAAGCCCTAGAACCGATTAATGTATTGGCGGACTGATACTAAAGCTGGTTGCCCGGTCAGTGCAAGCGAAAACATGTTGAGGTCGGTTCGTAAGAAGTTCGTTAAGCGAATTTTTTTTCGTTAACCGAATTGAAGATCCTTATGGAAGGCAGTTCGTTAATCGAAATTACGTTAACCGAGGTGTTCGTTAAACGAGGGGTCACTGTAACACTTGAAGAGAAGCTCGATGTTATCAATCTCAAAATCACCCTTCTCCCCCATCAAGTTACATTCATATTTTTTCAAGGTAGTGTTACATTTACTGTATGATTTCATTATTAGATATGAATGTAACATTTATTTAGACTGTGCTATCCTTTGTGTTAGGCTAAGTACTAAATTTTTTCGATTTCGAGTAATCTGCACCTAACCCTATTTTCTCCATAAGCCCTGTTATTTCTATTACGCGATTTTCTATAACACGATATTTTACAAGAACACAATTATCGCGTTATAGCAGAACTACCTGTACACTGATAAACAAGATTTAGGCTAGGAAAAATTTCACAGTTTGCTCCCTCCTTCAGTTTGTACCAAAAATTTGCAAATACAACATTATCTCTAGGTCAATCTCGGCCTAAATCATACAACCAGGCTTTGGGTTCAGTCCCTCCACCAGGCACAAGTGATGCAAAGGAGGGCAACTACAATATATTTCCCAATATTGTCAACAAAACTCTTTTGTTATCCTTCAAAACACTGAACAAGAATTGAAATTGTGTTAACACTCAAAATATTAAAATGATACCAGTTTTTACTACAAGTTTTAAGTTCCAATAAGAATTGAAGAGGTAACTCCTAAAGCCAAGTACCTACAATTTATCTACACAGCAATGAAATAAAAATACAGTATAGACATTATCGGTACAAAAGAAACAGACTAATCAAGCATCACTAGAGTACAGTATAATAAGACTTACAACCTAGTGTATACATCACTCAAGAGAAGATGTCCATTTGGTAGTCTTGCAAAACACAAATGTATAAATAAGACTCAAACAAATTCACACCAAATATTATTTTCCATTAGCTACTGACAAACAACAATGTATAACACCCACCCACACATGTATGTCATCCAAATAGAAGTCTGCTACTATTAAGCTTTAATCAGCCACAAATTTACTGCCAAATGAGAAAATTTAACTACCCTTCCCTAGGTTAGCTCCAATGAACACTAGATTATTAAGACTCAGTTATTTTGTATACCATAATTACTACATAACTGTTGTTCTAAATGCCGTTGTTTGAATTTTTACAAAGCTAAATTTAATAAAAATCTATACACACACACACAGACCATTCAATGTTTCAGCTTGCCTATTATGAAGAGTTTAACACAATTTACCTTGGCTAGGATACAGGTAATTAATTTTATTTAATCAAATAAAATAATAACTTCTTCTAGAGCCTCATCACTTTTGTTAATGTTTAATTAGTTCCTTCACACACACATACACACACCTTGGCCAGTTTGTCACAATGGCAATAAAGCAGGAGTTGGCAGAACCCCAAAGACTAAAATAGCGAAATACCAAACCTCTAATTTGCATCAAGCAATCTAAATCAAGTAAGTAACTCTCAAAAGCAATATTTACCTCTATAAAAAATCAAACAGAACAAAGGATCAGAACAAGATTAATATTCAATCAGCTTGGCCTGCTCAAGAAAGGTGTGGCTACTGTATCACCTTTCACTAGACACCCAAAGTAAGACTCATGCTTCACCAGGAGCCATGCAGCATTAGGAATGGGCAGCTGAGCGCCATACATTTAACCCCTTCGCTACGTTGTATAAAATATATGATACAACTACCAATTATGATGGAGGCATTCTGTAGAATTCTTATTAATGTTAGCACTTTCTAATGTAGAGTATATTTTCTTAACATATTTATAACAATGTCCAATATCATTCATCACATCTTAAGAATTATTCCCTAAGAATGTTTTTTTTTTTTTTTGCAAAATGTTAACTTTGTTAATAAATAAAAACAATGCCATCTTAATTTCTTCTCCCTTATGTTATTTAATTCCTCACCATACATTTGTGCTGGACTTATGTTCCTCACCATTATTACAGTATTAACTGGTTTTGATATACTGTATATCATACAAAAATTGATCATGGTATGGTGGGATGTGTAACCCATCAGGGACAGAAGGTGGGTGTAGTCTTAACTATTGCCACCAAAATAGCTGAATACTGTATTATTAATAATAGCTGGTGTTTTCTTTCTCAAAAGTGCCAGTATTTCTAGAGAATACACTAGTGCTTAAAACACTACAAAGTCAAAGACCTGAGAATAAAAAAAATACTGTACTGTACTTTACTACAATAAATGATCACAAAAAGTGAGTTTGAATTCTGTCATTCATATACTGTACCCTAAGTTTCAATACTTCCTAAACCCTGTAACTCTCCATCAGTGTATCCTGTTCAGGATCAATAGCTTTAAAAAAAAAAGAAAGGCCTCAAGTTGTTTCTTATTGGCCTCCGCAGAAGTCAGCTGCTTCATGGATGCAGGCAACCAATTGTACAATCTAGGTGTTGTATAGGAAAAGGATCAGGCAGTAAAAGTACATTCCCTTACTGCTCTCGGCTCCTCAAGGTGTGAAGGATCATCACTACTATGCAAAATCATTTAAGAATGTAGTAGTGGAATTAGTAGGTTGGCCAAATACTTAGGCTCAAAAACATTAGGTTGGCTGAAGAATATTGTATATGTTCTAAATTTCATATATGTCAATAGAATTGAAAGAACATTTTTTTACACCGCGGGTATGTTAACGAGGCGAAGGAGTTAAAGTAAGTTATTTGAGGCCTTTATCAACATCCTCGCTTTCAAATTGGATTTGTACTATCCTAACAAACACCCCATATATTTATAGATCCTACAGACATCACCAACAACTTTCCATGAGAGATGCAATCATGGGCTGTCGACAGCTGATTAAGTCTTGGCAACTCCTAACTTAAATTTTTCAAAACTACTGTCCTGCCTTATTACGTCAACCTACACTCTATGCCCTTGCCATACCTCCCAACATCAGCGCACACTGTCTTGGACACAACCTCCCCACCACCACCACCACAACAAAAAAAGGCTGAAGAACAACAAAAGGACCCTGTGCCTACATACACAACTACATATTTACAAACACACAAACACACTTTCTTACAACCCAAATTCAAATGGGGGAAACCTTTGTACCTTTATGTGTTAATGGGTCATCTCTGTGTAGCCCTTCTAAGAGTAAGGGTCTGTCAGAAGTCCTTTAAACACCGTCTCACAGTTATCAATCATGTAAAAGAGAGCTCTGAATCAATTGTTACACACCTAATGAGTTAGGGCTTTTATGTCAATGTAAGTGGGACAAAAAGTTATTTCTACATTGCAGACCAGAGAATTCCAACTCCACATTACACAGAAGAGCTCTAAGCCTGTTAGTCATGAAGACTGAGCTCTCCAGTCAATGATACACAAAGACAGCAGAGATCTATGTCAATGATGCATGCAAAATACAGCCCTCAAATCAATGAAATATGAAGACAATGAAGTCCTCAGTCAATCACATACAAACACATGAACTCCCAGTCAATGATAAACAGAGATGAATGCTTACAGTTGATCTACACAGCAGACAACAAGAACTCCAAGTCAATAATGTACATTAAACAATAGAGCTCAGGGTCCATGAGAACATACAACATAGCTCTTAAGCCCAAGTTGCACTCAGACAAGAATTCTAATACCTGTACCACATTCTACCCAAAACAGCTCTAAGCTCACTTTTCATATTGAAGAGCTCTTAGCCCATGTTCTACACAGACAACAGAGCTTTAAGCCCATGTTACTTGACCCAGTTATGTTCTAAGCTTGGAATAAACAAAATTTAAATGTTCAATGTTTTTCAATATAATTTACATATATCCTCTAGCTAAACATTATTCTATATAAAAATGTGTTCAAGCACTATAAAGGTTAAATTAATCTATTGTCAGGGGAAAAAAAATTGTTTAGGTGACACTCAGTTCTACCGAGAAGCCACCCACTAGACCGTTCACTACACTAGCGACAATTTTACTCAAGATCTTGCCACTCGCACCAATGGGAGGGGGGAGGGGAGGAGGGGGAGGGGGCAAGTCAAGGCTTCTCAAAAACCCTGACATACCCCTGAGACCAATAAAGGTGGCCGGTAGTAACTTGTAGAGCCACAGCCACACAATACAAACTATAACCCTGAAAAGGAAAGCAAAATTTAAATAATAATTAGATAAAATATCTTGAGCAAACTGCAATAGCAGTTTCTCCATTTTAATTAATACAGTATTCATATGACATCTTTCTTTCACAACTACAATATCCCGAGAAATGAGGGGCAAATGAGCTACACGAGTCACTAAAATGATGATACAAATATTGTACTACAGTAGTACTGAACCTAACTACCCTCACTTAAAATGTGTCTTGATTATATCGTTCTCACTCCTTACTTCAGCAAAGGGCTCAGAGGTTTTAAAGAAGCTCAGATTTAAGGGGTTCAGGACTAATGCAGTGCCAATCATTAAATAAATTGAGCAAGCTATAAATACTCAAGTAATGAAATGACTACAGGAAAGTTTAAAGATTTACCAAGGTCAAGTTAATAAATTTTAATAATCAGAAAAATATGAGTAAGATTCAGAAATAAGATGTGAAAGAAGTGTCATGCAGTGCTTGGATCAAGGTTTACAATCAACTTTCTTCACTAAGATCCAAATGATCAGAATTCTGTAAAATAGAACTACAATAACTAGAATAATGTCATAAATGAATTCTAGACCTGACAGTTGATCTTTCTAATGCCATACAGTGTGTGGATGCTGCCATGATAATTCAATCGCCCATTCTTGTTTAACATAATGCCTTCTTTACGGGGGTGTTATAGGAGACTTGTGGGAATGGGCAACAACTGGAAGGCTGTGACAGTTGGGGTAATGCATATGCAAACTATATCTACGACAGTAGTTTTACTTGCCACATCAAATAAGCAATCAGAACCCACAGCAAATCCCATTAAAGTTCACGGACCATAATTCCAGAGGTGCATCTCAGCATTGGTCGAACTTGGACAGGCAACAACTTTTATACCTGCCCCCGAGACTCAACAACACAAGCTATGTGTTAATCCGTCCATGATAGAGAGGCCTGGGACCACACCTCACTCACTTGAGTGAGTGAGGTCCTGTGACACCAGACCACATGGTGTCCCCATGATGCTACGACACCACGTAGTGAATGCGTTGCTACAGCATCATGTGGGGTTCCTCATAACACCATCTATGAGGGAATTACTACACCACGTGATACCCCTCATAACACCATCTGTGAGGGAATTACTACACCACGTCAAGCCCCTCATAACACCATATGTGAGGGAGTTACTACACCATGTGATGTCCCTCATAACATCATCTGTGAGGAGGTTACTACACTAGGTGTCTGCTGTTTAACACCAAGCGCACAAGATCTACGTGACCTCCACTGTAAACATTAATCTGTATGTTCACTATGTTCCTTTACCTTTCTCTAATGAAGGCTTTTGTTAAACCACCAATGTACGTAATATGTCATTTATGTCCAATTTATATTTTCAGCCTTCGGGCTGCAGAACTTTTTCAATAAACCGTTAATTATTATTTTTATTATTATGAAGAACATGCAAAACAAATTTGATACCTCTATCATTATTAGATACTGAAGTATATCACTTAAAAATATCAACACACACACACTTTATGATTCTTATATCCCCTAACCTCTCAAATTGGAGTTATAGAAATGAAAATGTTAGACCAGAAAATAATTGCAGTAAAACACAGTGGAGGAAAATTTTGAAAGTTGAAGGTTCTGTGTGTGTGTGAGGTTTGGAGCAGCAGTTAGATTGATTTTCATCACATCTACGATGTAAACCTGTTGAACAAAGTTTCAAAGATTTACAGGATAGATATATTGCATTAATAATGTACATATCTAGATGAAAAATAATAAACACAAATGTAATGTACAGTACCACAAAAAAATATCGCTAGACGAAATGCTTTGAAATGATCCCAAGTGCATCATAAGTGGGTACGCCTGCTCGCCGCATCAGCAACAGCTAGAGATGGGAGTAGGACTGGGGGAAGGCATCGTCCTTGTATGGCATACTAGATACTTCTATATAACAAGAAATCCATTAAGCTATATTAATGTATGTATCGTTCAGGTTAGAAGCAAGACATCATAACCGGGAATAAAACAGACTTCAAAATAAACATTTCACCATTCTGTGGTTATACTAACGGAATTTCTTCATATCGAGTTTCACAATATGTCTACTTATGTTGTCCACAATTTGCCTGATTTATGAAGTGACTAAGCAAATAGTACTTGATATTAGTGTGAACAGCTATAGTAATATACAATATATCAGTCTACATGGGACCTGCCAAGTTACTGGCATGTAAATTTCATTTGTTTAACAATGAAAAAAGGTTTCAAATCAAAGGACTTGCAGGCAAATGACCCCCTCCCCCCGTCCAAGTATAGCAAGATATTTGTGGTTGTAAGTTTCAGTGTGGCACCAAGTGTTTCATGGCACCTAACCTATGGTGATACTGTGGGTCTGCTCTCCCCAGTTCACCGTGGTATCTTAACATTACGTATACCTTCGTCTTGAAGGGCAATGATAGCAACTCTCAAAAACACGTTGAGTAACATTGTTCGGAAAACCTTGAGTCACATCGACCCCATGGCTAACCAAACTTTTTGGGGGGACTGTACATTGCATTAAAATCATGATTTCTTTAATGATTAATTCCTAGGAATGTATTATCATCTTACCTGAGTGCTACCATAAGCGGTGAAGGTGTAGGTTTCGAGACAAAACGGAACGCACATCAGCTGTAAAGCGGAGTGCGTCTAACACGGGCAGCAAGTTGAGCAGGGACGTGTCCAGGGGATCACTGAACCACGATTTAATGGGAACTGCATTATCTGCAAACAAGAAAGTGGAATGGTCATATGTATTCATGATAATCTTCCACTGTTTGCCTCATAATCTTTTAAAAGGCACTCCAGTCTGTACACTCATAAACAGTGTGCCCGTATGTTTTTAAATCACCTTTATATGCATTTTCTTAAAATTATGGCTTTATTTACTTTATAAACATTTAGTTTTAAATGCCATGAATTTTCATCAAATTTCATACATAGGTATTACGGTACTTTATGTGCTGACATAAGAAAAGCCTTCATAAAGCTTGAAATCACAACAGTAAAGAAGTTATTGTTATAATACAGAATTATGTACAGTAGGGGACAAAAGTTCGCTTTCCATGATGAAACTGAGTCACGGGAATGAGTCTCCAAACTGACTTAACCTGACTGTTTCATCTCATTTGGGGTCGATGCTGCTTCATTTTGAGCAGGAGTGAACTTGTGACCCCAACTGTACCTTAAGTGATACTGACTACATTATGAATTAAGGCTGTCCATGTAAGTCCACTATACACACACACACCTCATTGTACATCTCTCCCATTCTATCAACTTGTGCCTTTATTGGAAATCTACTTACTCACTCACTCATTTTCAATCTCTCTTCAAAATATATAACTCTCCTTTAGGTCTGGTTAACAGCACTGTCCCATTATCATACAGGAATTGTAACAACTTCAAGTCCTCATATCTGCTAGATTCTGCTGTCACCTTTTCACACTTCCATTTCTCCAATCACGAAGGCATTATGCAACCAAGGTGATATAACACACCCCAAATGCACTTTAAACCACAGAAACACAAATCTCCTGTGTATCTAACAAATTACCATACCAGCCATGCTTCCTGACTTAATAATACAGTATTTCCATCTCTCACCTGGATATTGCCTATACGCTCCTGGTGAATTATCTAGAATGAATATAGAAGCTAAGTCAGGACATATTGCAGCGAGATCCTTCGTGTAACTTCCATAGTCAAGCGTACAGTGCTGACGGTAATATCGTCGCCGCAAAATACCACGACCACCGTCCAACTTGTCTGCAACTGCTGCTCCATATATTTCCATACTAGCGGTGAACACCACGAGGTCATACCACTGTGACACCTGAAAACGTGGAAATTACAAACATCAAAAAAGGTAAAACTTATACATAAATAGATGTAATGATAGAAATATAACAATAGGAAACCTGGTTGGGGTTGTTGTTGACAGTGAAGTTTGTAATAATGTCTCTATTACAGTACAGTACTTGTATGACTAATTTAAGAGTTCCACGAGTCACATGAGACACTACTACTGTACTAGAATTGGGAAATGAACGAACAAGCAAATAACATGCCATCACTATAGGGGCTGATGCATAAAGCTTAAACCAATAAACTATACTGTACTTACTATATCCAAAAAAAAGTCAACGTGCGGTCGTTTATGCACAAAGAAGCGCACTGGATGCCGGTCTATAGTAACCTTCAACACAAAATCTGGCGGAGTACCGGGCTTCACCATTTGCCGAATAACACCGTCATGATGAGAATGAATGAGGGTCTCATCCAAGTCTAAGACTAAAACCTTCCGCTTCACCAGACCTAAGGAAGAAAAACAGAATGAAGCACACCTCTCATTATGTATATAAAATATATATACAAGATATAAATAAATACATAAAATGACAAGCCAATTAAGTTAATATGATCAGTCATATCCTCAAGGCTGACATTTAAGACTCAGACAACAAGAATAAAAATACAACTACCCAGTACTCACTGAGCCGATGTTTGGAGAGTGGGGAAAGCGGCAACACCTCATATTTGACTGGCTGGTACTGCAAAACCTGTTGGCAATCATTCAGTTTTAGTAGTGACACTGGCACAAAGAGTGAGAAAGAACGAGATAAATAGCACTTATCCTTCACCTTCATATCACATTCCTGAAGGACATTTCTTGTCATGAAGGTACAGTCCACCCCCCCCCCCAAAAGATAAAGGTATCGTTAGATTTTCCATCGCGACAATTTGAAACACTATAGACATCATAGGTTGGTACTCCTGCTTGCCATATCAGCAACTGATGGAGATGTGGGTAGGATTGGGGGTTGAGAATTATCCTTGTATGGCATACTAAATATTTCTATATAACAAGAAATCCATTAAGCTATATTAATGTATGTATCGTTCTGGTTAGAAGCAAGACATATGTAAACCAGCCACTGACTGATGATTACATCATAACCAGGAATAAGAGGCTTCAAAATAAACATTTCACCATTCTGTGGTTATACTAACGGAGTTTCTTCATATCGAGTTTCACAATATGTCTACTTATGTTGTCCACAATTTGTCTGATTTATGAAGAGTGACTAAGCAAATAGTACTTGATATTAGTGTGAACAGCTATAGTAATATACAATATATCAGTCTACATGGGGACTGTCCTGTTACTGGTATGTAAATTGAATTTGATTAACAATGAACTAAGGTTTCAAATCAAGGGACTTGCAAGACATTTGTGGTTGTAAGTTTCAGTGTGGCACCAGTTGTTTCATGGCACCTAACCTATGGTGATACTGTGGGTTCACTCAACCCAGTTCACCGTGCTATCTCAGCGTTACGTATACCTTCGTCTTGAAGGGTAATGATAGCACCTCTCACATCTTGTGATGTCTCCCCAATAATTCCTCACTCCATTAGATGTAAGATCCCGTTGATGAGTGGCATGGCGTTGGTGTCCACTTATGACATCTGCTCCGAGTCACGTAATATATGATTTGAAGCCTCGGAGGATTAACATCGTTCAAAAGAATACTCTTTCATGCTCAAAGGTCACAGATGTAGAACTACCAACCTTTCAGAAACAGGTTAAATAACAATGCTTGGAAAGCCTCGAAACACATTGACCCCAAGACTAATTATACCTGTTTGGGGACATTGTACAATACCCTAAAAAGGCTAAGAGCTGATAAGACATGCTGAGAATAAACATATACAGTGGTCCCTCGGTTAACGAGCACAATTCGTTCTAGAAGGTTGCTCGTTAACCGAAAAATTTGTTAACCGAAACCATTGTTTCAATGGGTTTTTGGGTAATTGGTTCCAGCTCACCGAAAATTGCCTAAAGTCAACAAAAAAGGTAGTAAAGTACATTTACTTTGAGGTGTGTATGTAGAAGGCTCCTGGATGATGATGATGATGGGAATTAGAATGGGGGTGGAGGAGAAGGGAGAAGAGAAGGCATTGGGGTGGAAGAGAAGTCTCCCCATGGTGCCATTTCACCCATAAAATTTTAGTTCACTTGGTGTAATTCAAGATTATTTTCTTTAAATCAACACTGCACTGCATTATATATTGTCAATATGTAAAATAAATTTCAAAATGACCAATAATTTGACTGGAAACAGAAAAAAAGCATTTATGTTGAAGAGAGTCTGAAGCAAGATGTTACCTCCACTGAAAAGACATAGAGACTGACGCCTGTATGGTGTGTTGACAGGCTGCTTGGCACGCTAAAAACAAGTTTCCCTGTACCTAAATTATGTTAAATAATTGTTAAAATGACTAAAAAATTTAATATAAGACTTAAAATCGAATGTTGCATATTAGATGGATGGATTTCAAGTTTTTTGCCCAGTGTTACCAGTTTGTTTTCTCGGGGTTTTGATTAGAATGTTTATCTTCATACACAAAAATGCTATACACCTTTATTAAATTAATAAAAATTAACATTGAACTATTCTTTTAGTCATACTGAAAAGAACCACATAGCATTAAGTACTTCTGTTTTAGGTAAAATTATAGTTTGGGTCATCCCTGTATTTAGATATCCAAACAACGTGATTTCTGACAGATATGAATGTCCAAAGTTCAAAACACATACAAAAACATAGGAAAAACATAACTTGGATATCTAACCTAACCTAATTTAATTTCCAAGATTCCCCAGATGACCAAAAGTAAAACAATACCTTGTTTTATATCCGTCATTCGTTATGATTGAAGCAGTAGACAGGAATCCTAGATTACTGAATTCAGTCACTTGTAGACTTAACCTAACACTGTTTACATGTCACCAAACTGAGAAAGCTAGGATCAGCATCATCAAACAGAACAGAATACTGGACAAATAACAGAATTAAGTAAAATGTCCACAACCGGACAAATAACCACTTCAAAAAATAAAAAAAGTAATTTTATTTATTTTAATTCACATTCAGGTTTGCATTCTTTATATGACAAGTGAAGGTAAAACAGTAAGCCAGAATTAAAGTGGTGACCCTATAATTGTATATTGACCTTTCAAATGCCAGTAAACAGAGGCAGAGGGGAGATCAATCAATCATTTTCATCTCATTAAACAGGGAACTTATCTTAAATCACAAAATATATCAAAACTTTTACATTACTCTTCAAAACTGGTTATTAAATTGGTAAAACCCATCTGTAGTATTAACGAGTTTATTTTTATTATTATGACTGACTTGTTGTGATGGAAGTCAGTGACCACAACAACAATAATAATACAATACTAAGATTAATGCTGTAGGTGTCTGTTGTGAATATTCTTTAGAGATCTACGGACATAAACTAAACTATGTAAAATTCATTAGCCAATTAATCCAAATCTTTCCTTTCTACTGAAGTCTTCGAGCCTTGCCAAGATTTACCCGTTGATCACATTTGCCCTAACTGAGGCTACCTTAACTCTCCCTGGCCTTACATCACGGAAATTAATATAATTAGTGGGATGAGGATGATGTGGTGGTGTGAGGAGGAGGTAGAAAGGTGAGGTACGAGATAGAGGGAGAGAGATACTCACAGTTCTAGCTTGTTTACGGAGAACATAGCAAACGAAACTCCAGATCTTCTGAGCCAGGAGCAGGAACGCACGAAGGCCCATTTGTAGTTGCTTATACATTGGTGACGTTGTTCTTGTGTCGTCTCTGATCAGCACAAGGAAGGTGCACACCAGAACTGTGGCGAGACGGGGGGCACACACCGATTAAACCCCAGTATTTACATCATTAAGGGTAAAACTTGGCGTCACACCGCCTCCATCGACCCACTCCTGATCAACTCTCGTAACTCCGCCGCTCGCCGACAGATGCCGCTAACTCTGACAAATTCTCAAACTTGGTTATTAAGTACTGGGTAAATAAGTAATTATTTTATATTATTTAATCTCATTGTACCGGTAGTATCATTTTATAATACTAATTATGATTAATTTCTTCGATAATCTAACTTATTTGAGGTTATAACTCATGTTTTGTCTTTACTCCGATCAGTTCAAATCTTGTAAATATCCACGTCCTTCCATAAAGAATTAAATACGGTTTCCCTAATATTTTCTGGCACTAAAAGATTTCTCGTTAACAGTTTATATATAATATATATATATATTATATATATATATATGTATATATATATATATATATATATATATATATATATATAATATATATATATATATAATAAATATATATATATATTAAATATATATATATATATATATATATATATATATATATATATATATATATATATATATATATGTGTGTATATATATATATATATATATTTATTTTATGTATATATATATATATATATATATATATATATATATATATATATATATATATATATATATATATATATATATATATATATATATATATATATATATATATATATTTTTTTTTTCAGACAACTTGTAGTTCTCCGGAAGACAGCTTGTGTACAGATAGGGAGGTTACTGTAGTGTGTGGGTGAGTGATCTGTATACAATTTATATACAGTAGACACCATTGTGTGTTGAGGGTTTGGGGGACGACTGCACCAATGAAAATGATCATGTTTTTTGTACTTGTGTCTGTATATTAGCGCATGGGCGTATGCTATTTGTCATTTACTTTTAATTATTAAATTTTATTTACCATTTCTACCACTACTCGGTTTACTAGCCGTTCGAACGGTCAGCTGTTCTTTATTATGACCTACATCGTCCAGCGTTATTATAGGATACCCTGAAATAAAAAAAAGTTATATTTGGTAGGGTCACACTGTTCTCACAACTGACCCGGGCTTCAACTTGGGACATATGACGAAGACAACCACAAATTACCCTTTTGTTGAAGTTTTCTTATGGTATGGAACGTTGCATCGGCATAAAATATAATGTAGATTTTTGTATTGCAACTGGAGCCACGGATATGAAATGAAAATATCTAAATTAATCACCCATCATTTGGCTCCGCCTAGTTGGTCATATTCACCTGTGAAGGCGCGATTTTTAATGTGATAAAGTTAATATATTTCTTGTTAATTCTTTCAGATTTTAGCCTGACTTACTTTTAGTTCCGATTCCTGAATTTTACGCTCATACGTATTTAATAATTTACTTACACTGCAATCTTAATTTTCGATTGTCAGAATAAATCTTCCAAAAATTGATCGTTCGCATAACCCAGCCAAATTAAAAAAGTAGCCAACTTCCGTGGTCACTGGATATATCTACCCACCCATGCCTTAACCGGAGACTCGAGCCCTGGACAATTTTGCGATGCATATTTTCCTACTCCACACTATCACCCTAAGACGTTTCTAACATGTATAATTACAGTATATGACTTGGTTAAATATATTTCAGGTTATTTGAAGTTTATATAAAAGCTATTAACTGTTAATTAACAAAGTCCACTGCATGTCTCGTAGACCAAAATGTTTGTAAAAAAAATGCGACAAGCTATCCATAATAATAAATGGAGAAGTATCTCGTTATTAGTTATTTTAAAATAGAAGATGCAGGTATGCATATTTATTATACCAGTAACTCAGTTTATATAGTTCAATAAAGTACTCATTATTCACCTTAATCTGGAAATACATGGACATGGTCGAATCGTATTTTGTCGACCACGGATACTTGGGCGAGGGAAATCCCATTGTATTTTGTTTCCCCCAAATCTGATCATTTCTGTCTGAAAGGAGATATGACACCCCCTCCCCACAAAAAGCCAACAATAGTGCTTGTTCAAACTTACTTTCAACTGTACAGGGTATTCCGAAGAAAAAAACGGTAATACGCACGTAACAGCCTTGACGGCTTTCCTTGGTTAAGTTGCCGTGCTATTTACCATTGGCATTTACCTGCAGTAGCAGCACACATGGAACGATACTCACCGTATGTCTTCGTTGTGTATATTCATGTTCAACTGTATTTTTTCCATTATACGGCTGTATGACAAGTTCTCAAGAATAAAAAAAATAACGTAATTGCTTACATGATCATAATGTGTCTAACTTAAGATGTTGCAAATTTTTGGGACAATAGAGTACTTACTTATATTCCATTGGCGTGTACATGTGTTCTGTTCAATGCAGCCTATCACTTCTGCACTATCTTAGGGAAGCGGGAATTGGTGAATAAGTCAGCTATATCTCTTGAGGTATGGTACAGTACAATATTTGCTAACAGACGCCACACAACCGTCAGTGACTCAGTTGAAAGTTTCCAGTTGCCACACTGTAATGATACTAGCAGCTATAATTAAGGTGGGATACTACAACCTGAAATAAGGGATGTGTTTTGAAATGAAGGATTGAGTTTACGGCTAAATAAATAAAAGCTCTTATTCAGAGGGATAAAAATAACAGAAAATTCCACCCCAAACCAAAGTTACAAAAAGAATAAAGGGTTCAATGCAATTACCTGTACAGTCGTGCTGTACTCCCAATTACCCCAATTTTTTAAGGAAAAACATTATTTTTGGATGTACTAAATTTTTTACACAAAATTACAATTGACATTGATTGCATGATGAATTTCAGGCTCAAAGCCAAGCACTGGAAACAATTAAGAGTTGAGGGTTTTTTTGGCCATTGTCTTGATATTCATTTTGCCCAAATCTTAATACAGGTATACTCCTGAACACTAAACGATTCGAGATCAGTTTACAATCCGATAGTGTCATCTAAATATGGATTAAATTAAATTTAACTTTGTAAATACAGTACTTTATAGTATTCACAGCTTTCAAATGTTTTATATTTTTTCCAGCTTTGAAGTGCTACAATTCATTAGTGTCCAGCTAATAGTTACTTGGAATTATACCTCTAATTTTCAACAAAATTACAGTACAGATGAAGAGGCTCGTACTTTGGTTAATTCCCAGTAAAGTATTGGTTTAGTTCCTCAAAATGTGTAGTACAGTAATGTTTGTTCCTTGTTGGCATAATAGACATTTGTTGCCAAGACCTTGAAGCCTCATGGTGTTAGCAAAGTGTCACTCTGATCCTGGTGTTGGACTTTGAGTACAGGTACCAAGTTTGTTTCTTTCTTACTGTGCTGAGCCACTTCCTCTGGTTATTGAATGTCTATTTAAATGTATGTACAGATATATTGTGACAGGCACCTTTGCACATACTGTAATACCCCAACAGTAAAGAATATCTCACCCAATAACTTACAAGGACTTCAGGGGAGCTTTATAAATGCCCATCTCTAAAAGTACTCTGTAAATTTTCAATTCTTAAGTACATTAAATAGGGTTTCAACAAGGGTTCAACACCAAAGAAGGACAAGTCACACTATATTTTGATGAGTTGGTCACTTTTTACCAGAACATCAGGCATCCATCCTTCCCAGGTATGGAATAACTATATTTTCACAAAAGTTTTTATATAATACAGGAGCTTTAGTGAAATTGCTGAGTAAATCTATGGACAGCTCACACATACACAGCCAATAAATTTTTTTTTACAACACAAAAATACATTTGGTAAAAAGGCTGATTAAAAAGTTCTTCACTGAAAACCACATGCGAAATTTATTTGTCAAATTAAATTTTTAACAGAAACAAGGAGGTTGTTTTGTGTTGAGCGAGTGAGAGAAAGATAGTGATGACGTAGTGACAGCATTGGAAGTGTTCTTACAGACTACTACTTTTTATACCCTGGCTTACTCCTTCACAAAGTCTGTCCAGAGAATCACTCGAGGAGATGGTGGAGTTTTATACATCTGTAGTATCAAGTTTAAATACATGTTGAGATCGCGTTCATACACACACACACTTCATACATCTTGCATATTGGCATCAATGTTATGTATAACCACTTTGAACAAAAAATGAACAAGGCGCACAGAATATCAGGATTATTAACATCATTTGAGAGCAAATATTACATCATGATAATGATGACAATACAATTACCTCCATATCAGCTGATGGAGCATAAACGGGAAGCTTCCACATGGCTACCTCACCAAAATACAGTGGAATCATAGTGAAACATTACACGACCAAGTTACAAGAAGTTCGTGGATATCGTCTACCACTGACAAGTAGCAGGACTAACATCCAAACCTGGGAGTGGAAATAATCTCATAATACACATATTCAAAACATAAGCATAAATATTATCCTTGCAACACAGATCAGCACCTAGAATCAGTGAGACAGACATCACCCGAACAGCAACCTTGGGTGCTCACGATGCTCATTCACTGCCATCTGACGGTCGGAGTTCCTGAGTTCCTGTGATGCTCACAATGGTTGGTGTCTAAGAGAATGCATCTATCATATCACTAGGGGGACAGAAAGAACTTCATACAATGGTATCCTATATCCCTGTGTACCGTGAGTTTTGTGTGGTAACACCAGCATATTTACTGCTCTACTAGTGTAAGGTGAACTATTTTCTAAAACTGTTATTTTTTTCCCACCTTCTGAGAGCCGAGATACCATCTAGCACAAGTGTATAGGGGGTAGCTCTCAAATCCATCTTCATACTCGATTTTCGAGATTTCGTGTATCACCACGGGTACTGTCCTTGCAAATTTAATCAATCGCCAGAGTTCTTCACATAAATATATTGCAAACAAATGCAGAATGCTACTTTAGTAGAATTTAAAGTTTCTAAGGAGTGAGAAGTCATATCAGCATTGAAGATAATAATTCGAGATAAAATAGTAGATGCACTACTGAAAGTCTGCTGATGCCTCAACTTTCTATGTGCCTCCCAGAGGGCTACAGTTTGTAAAATTTGCATTACAAGGATCTTGAAAACAATATATTGATTATAAATCTATTCTGAATAAAATTGCACCAAAGAATAAATACCCAACCCGAGCTGAATTACATAAATTAAATATTTTGACCCTCGGAAAAAGGGGGGAGGAGGGGGCTCACATAAATTCATCTAAAGAATGTGCCTTGATGATTAATTCCAGTATTGACTGTATGTGACTAAGACATGAAAAACTCAGGTAATAAATTAATAAGGCTTATTTTCCCTGCTAAAAATCATGAGAATGGACACATGGACCTTTGCTCCATTTCACTCAATCGCACGTTTGGGACAGGTCGAACCCTCTTACCAGATTCATCTCTCGGCAGCAAACTTCAAATAAGTATCTTTACTTATGCTAAAGATGAAAGAGGGGAGAAGTTACCTCATTAGATATTCTTATTAAAATATAAACATTTGAAAATCATCAGACTAAACACAATTTCAGGACCAAACAAAGTATCAATGATAATTCTGGATACACAGAGTAACCAGAAACTGAAACCTACGTGATCTTTTAAGTCTTAAACAATAAATGGAGTGAAATATAGTGGCAGTAATGAGTAGTAAAAACACAAGGTGTAGATACGTTAAGTAATTCATGACAACTTTACTTGGGAGGAAACTTGACAGTGCTCGTACCATTGCTAGGCAACTTGAACATACTGGCCGCACCACATGTTACAAGGACCTGTATTCACATGTACATTCCAAGAATAATGAAATTGTGTAAATACAGATTCAAGCTTCATGAGAAGAAGCAACAATTTCCATAAATTTAGAGGTGCAACAGAAGCTGACAGAACCTTGTTAAGTTAAAATTATCAATAAACTTTTAACTGTGTTGATATCTAAACAACCATACAATTACTGTCACCCTCCACTGACCTACAGATCTATAAATGCCTTGGTAATGTGTCAGTGTTAACAATAGACAACCAAACTTGATGCAAATACAAACTACAATATACATTTGAAAACTATTTCAATTCAAACCAATCACAGTCTCCTCCTCAATAACATTAAGGTGTGGCCGTCACTCGGTACATCAAACATGCATCAGTAAAGCTCATGTGCTCACACGCTGGGATCAAAGCTATTAATTGGCCAAAGGTTGACTGACCACCCCTTTATATCAGATCAACATTAAATAAAAATTGTCTTTTGTCGCTGGCTCCGTCTCATTCTATACTCTATAGGGATATTACGTATTAAATTTTGCAAGCATTTTACCTGCCAAGCTTTACTGTCTCTTGGGCTAAGCTTTATGCCCACTGGCCAATAAGCAATTTGAGACAAGAGCACAACTATCTGCAATTACAACGGCAAATGGAAAATATGGAAGCCATGACTTTGTAATAAAATCTTTACTATCCAACATTAATATAGACAACCAAATCTCTGGTAGTGTAAATGCTTCTGTAACAAGAGCACTTTTATAAATGAAAATGCACTCGAGATTGTGTATTGTACAACACAGAATCAAGCTCAGGATAGTCCACCAAGACACACCACCAGGCAGTCACTCACTCCCGTATACCAAGTTAACAGTATAATGTACTTCATAAAACCAAACCCTAGTTTAGGGTCACTACAGGTATGGACATAATTCACTTCTGTACAAGTCCTGTTCTCATGATTATTTCCACAGACATCAAGATCTGACACAAAATGAGTCCAGCTGCAGGACACGGGCCATCCAAAGATAAACACTCCCTAAACGACCAACTAGCAACACATTTATTGTCACACATCTGCCAATGTAGCAGTTATTCCATTACATTAACACTTAAACCACTGAATAATGAGTGATAACGCACTCCTTATGTTCAATTTATCACTTGCATATCACCAAAGGCCCACTTGAGAACCCAATGGTAAATGTTCCCTGACCTGTTATATCCCCCAGAGATTTGTCTTAAATAGCGTTTGTCACTGGCACACACTCACAACCTGGGTCGCTGTGGGGACAAATGGCAGGGGCAAAAGGTTATTCCCCTGGGACAGTCCGTACCCTCACAATGTTTCTCGTTATGTATAACACCCCTCTTTTTCCTTTACACGGAGCAAGTATACTTCTCATACTTTGAAGAAACTTGTTCCTTGGGTCACAGCCAAAATATGGGAGGCGCCAATAATGCAACCATAGATTTGTTGTTCGCGACAATACTCGTCAGCAAGGAGAGGTCGATGGTCACAATTTCAGCTTAAGTGTAGAATCCTCACTTCAGCATCAATGAGAAGCCAGTGTTCAAGACAACTAAAATTTCCCATAGAGTACTGTTCTGTTCACATCTTTTTTTTATTTTTTTTTGATTCAGCCACAAGCTAGACAAGCACTCACATATACACATTAAGTGAATTAGCCACATAGTTTCTAGGGTGTGACTTTCCAATTTTTCAATAATGTACAGTACAAGGCTATCATAGTCAAAAATAAACTCTCAACTGTACAGGTAAGCAGGATTGCCCCACGTTTGGCACCGGTCACACACTCTCCAGTTGGGCAAATTGCATACAGTAAACAGCACGGTCATGTCGTCAATATGTACACAAAATGGCAGACAGCGTAGGCACTGGAGAAGGATGATGCAGCCATATACACTGCAGCAGCAGAACTGGGCAATTAGTGGGGTGTAGGATCACCAGGCTGGGGACACATCACACAAGTGCACCGTTCAGTAGCTGCCGGAGGACACCACCAACAATGCAGTTACACCTTCTTTGTAATGTGTTGGTATGTGTATAGGACAAGGCAGAACCAGCCAGGGTGCTTATTATGTCTTGTGGTCCCTGGCTGTAGTCCCCTAGCCTGGTGGGCAGCCTCTGTCTCAGGTGTTCACTTTCAATGGCTTCATTTGGGTGACTTAGGTCTGGCAGAATCCCGGGGCCTAAACGAAGTGGTGCCCCTATCTGTGGACAAGCGATTTTCCCGTGGAGGTCCGTCCCTCCTCATGGGCCTGCCGTCTCGCTCACGGGATATCAAAACTTTCTCTGCAAAATATGTTTGTATTACAAAAAGAAGAGATAGTGTAACTTAACTCTTGGTAAATATAAATAGAAAACCCAAAACATGTGTGGTGCCTGGACAAACAAGAAGAGTAACCAGTGATTACCCCCAAAGAAATAACCCAAAATACACTTACAAACACACCTGTATATTTCACCCTGTTTGTTCTGATCCCACATTGATAGTTTGATTATTATCCAGTGCCTATCCTTACATAGCATCTCTTCTCTTGCCTTAATAGATGGAAACATTGCAAGGTTGAAGAAAGCTCAAGAGTTGACGACAAACTAATTATTTGACTGTGTAAATGTGTTCAAATATCTAGAACAGTGGTTCTCAAATCATGAGTTGTGATGACCCAGCAAAGTTATGTCCTTTGCCTGTTTTTTATTTACACTCTCTAGGTCACCAGTAAACAATGGAAGCCTCCAACCAAACTATTTATTGGTAGTAGTACCTTGCTATTAAATTGAGAACCACTGAATTCTAAAGCACTGGTTGTGCTTCCAGCTGGCTGTAAAAAAACTCGACAACCACACCTTAAGCTAAATATAAAACTCCAGATATTTAAACATAATAAATTGTATTAGTAAATTATATTGCAAGATCGACTGATTATATATGATTACAGGAATTATCTGGTAAGCTGGCCATTGAGTTACCTGTATGAAACAGTACAAGGCATTTAAAATATAATTAAAGCAGTCATAACAGTATTAATAAAAAACTACAATTCGGTAACTGAACACTCCCTCCATCTAACTCACTACACATTTTCCTGAGTAGTTCCCACACCTGGAACTGTGATAACCATGCTTATACCTGGAATTCCCAATATGAAAATTGTTCAGGCAGATCTCACACAAAAGTAAAAATCCACTAATACTCCTTCTACATCTTCAAAATTATAACAATTAGGTAAGATGTATGTGTGTGCACTAACCTTGTGGCTTCTGTTGTGGTCTTGTGCTAAGTCTCTGCTTCTTGATCTTTTCCTGTTCATCCTTCTCTTTAACCTCAGCTGCCAACCTCTCCATGTCATCCTTTGATGCCCAGGCCATTTCTGCCCAGCTGGTTTTGTGCTCCTTTAAGTTAGAAATAGGTTTACTACATCATATAAGTACAGTACTATAATTCGGGTTAGAGGATATCCAATAACACAACTAGTGTGAATGATTGCTGCCTTTCCTATCCTGTCAATTACTGTGGAAAAGTCATCCCTGAAAAAGTTTAGCACAGGAACAGAGAATTAGCAGACTAACTTTCATGTATATATAGCCATCATGTTTGTAGAAAGCCACCAAGTTAATTTGAAAATCATGAGATATTATATGAAGCAAGAGAACGTGACTTACCCCATCGTTGTTATTTAAAGGTTGAGTTGTTGTTACTTTTGTTTCTTCTACACAGCTTTCTTCACTACTGCTTTTGGTGTCTGTCTTTTGTGGTCTGCAAGAGGAGTCGTCATTTAAATAATGTGGACATGAACTTAACCTTAAACTCTACCACGGTCTTACAATTACTCCTCATAAATAACAGTCGTCTACCAAGAGTCTGTACATATGTCTTTTCCCCAAGAGCCCTTTGATGAATTGGTACAGTATAGACACTTGAGAAGCACCAAGACAGTTATCCTTAGAAAACATTTATACAAGTTATAATTCCTAGAACAATTCATCCATCAGTTATCTTTATTTCTCTCTCCCAAGGGGAACACAACCCTCTTATGGGAGGATGGGTAATGGGGGAATTGAAAGGCATGACATGTAAACAAACACACTCATACACAAACCCCAAAATACACACACACACACACACAGTCCCAAGTGCTAAGCCATCACATCTGAAAGCCAATATTAAGTATACTATGCCACTTTGTCTTATTTTAAATATATTGATTCTTCTGGTCCCAACTAAATAGATGAATTTATCAATAAGATACAGGGACAATAAACATAAAACAATTTATAAAGAATGCACATGAATCTGAACAATAATCAGTCATAGAAGCTCTACTAAAAGTGCATGTCCACAAATTATCCAATCCATTCTGAAACCTCAAGAACAAACAGCGCACGAGTCTAAGTCAACACTCTCCTCCAACTATACAGTATTTGAGAAAATGACCATTGCTAATACTGTATCATAAGATGGTAACAACCTACACCTGTAAATATCAAAACTTGGAATAAGACATCTTACTTTGGTGAAGAAGGGGGCGAAGAGTCCCCATTGACCAGATGCTGTGTCCTTGTGTCACGTGATTCTGGTCTCTCCCACTGGTCGCGGTTCATCTCTCTATGACAACGTGGTTCCTTGGGGCCTTTGGTGATCCAACCATCGGCATCCACCTTTTCCTCTTTCCACGGTCTCGATGTCACGGGTCTATTTTCCTTTCCCGTGCGAAGGTTATTTTCTCTCAATGGTCTGTGGTCACGGTCTCTGCCCCCAGTATTTCTCGCAGAGTCCCTCTGGTAGTCTCTGGGATGATCCCGAACACCGTCTCTTCTGTCACGAGGGCCTCCGCTAGAACCTGGGCGTCGGTCATCACGGACCCCACGTTGATCCCGCGGTCCCGGTTTCGCATCAACTTTATTAGCACTACTGCTGTTGCTGCTAACACTTGAGTTCCCTAAAGTTGTTGAAGATATTGAAGTGGGTGCTGCTGTAGGAGCAGATGAGGTGTTAGACGAAGTGTTTAGAGCCATGCTGGTAGCATCCACAGAGTTGGATGGTAATGTGGTTGACGTACTAGGAGCCTGACTAGCTTGATTAGCTGCTGCAAGTGCCTGAAGAGACGTGACAGTGGGTGATGCAGTAACTGTTGAGGATGGTGAGGGAGAATTACTGCTTGTTGGAGTAAAAGGTTCAAGAGGAAGCTCTTTATCGCGATGAGAGGACTGGGATGTTGGCCGTGGCTTTGCCGTCCCCTTCATCACATCAGAGAACCGCTGGGTGTCACTCCCCCAGGCTGATGGTATAGGTTCTGGTGGTCGCTTCTCTTCTGTTACTGGCACTTGCTCATCAGAACCTACAACGAAGTACAATATCACATACTGTAATATAGACTATACCTCCATCAAATGTTGTCACTATGAAACAACAACAAATTTCTAAATACCTAAAGCCTGTTTAAAAATCAAGATCTTTGTTATCCACATTTACATAATTTATACAAAAATATGAAAACTTGTATTTACTGTATCAAAGATTAAACTTTGTTAAAAATAAAAATGTGTATATATATATATATATATATATATATATATATATATATATATATATATATATATATATATATATATATATATATATATATATATATATATATATATATATATATATATATATATTATATATATATATAGTAGCTGCATTTTCTCAAAAAGCTTATAAAAGTACCTTTTGACAAAGGATCAACACCTGACTAAACATTCTGCTACAAAACCAATTTTGACCTATTCAGTGATTACACCAAGTTCCTCAACTGAAGACCAGAGTAAACAGATGTGGAAATGGCCTTGATAACAGCCGTATTACTCGTAGCACAAGTACAGTAGATGACAAGTCTATGGAAATAAATTTTTCCCAGTGACAATAATTATGTTACACCTTCCATACCAAGAGCAATAACAATTAAATAAATTATAATCCTATGCAAAATGAACTTTACTTACTTGGTAGTGGTGGAAAAGCTGCAGCCTCTAAATCAAATTGAGGTGGTGGTGGCGGTGGTGGCGCGACCTCCTGATGGTTACCTCCCGGCTTGCTGCTGTCCATGTTGGGCGGCTGAGACAGACCCCCACGCTGGGGCATGCCTCCCCGTCCGCTGCCGCTCATTGCTATTTCTTCTTCCCGTCGTGGGCGCCGTCGTATTCCTCGAGACCTGTGATGGTACCAGTTCTCAAAACTGGGCATACAGTGACACTTTTAATATGGTTTACAATCATCACACTTTCATTAAAACTTAAAACAAACTTTCAAATATAACTTAAAACAAAATCTAACTAAAAACAAACTTTTACCACCTTACTAGAAATTAAACAACTTTCACAACATAAGAAAAATAATAGTAAACTTTCTAACACACAAAAGAAAAACGTGAGAACAAAACATAAGACTGGTAATAGTAGGTTCACAAGTACAATACTCACAACTGTCTTGGTGGCTGAGGGTCCCTTGTCATGTGATGAGGATGATGGTGATGATAGTGGTCATTTCCGTAATTGTTGCGGTGAGGTGGAGGACCTAGAGGCTGCTGCATGTGCTGATACTGATGATGTCGATGGGGTGGTGGCGGTTGTTGATGTTGTGAGGGGGGATGTATTTGTTGGTGTAGGGGAGGTTGTGAGGTACTACTGGTCGTGGTAACCGTAGAGGAAATAGCTGGTGACGAGGACGAAGCAGTGGGTGGAGGTGGTGTCTCGGTGGTTGATGAATTGAGCATAGAGGTACTGGAGGAAGAAGGGGCGGCAGTACTTGTGGCCGTCTGCCCTAAGGACTGTGTTGACACTGGAAGAGTGCTAGAGCTACTAGATGCCTTTGACACAGTTACCACTTCCTTCTTTTCGATATTATGGATCACAGGTGTAGCTGACACCATGGGTGGGCTGAATGATGTATATAGATTGGATTGACTAGCTATTGAAAAGTCACTATGAGCAAAGCTGTCATGATTGTTTCCACCAGGAGCAGCTGATAATGATGCAGGAGGTTGGGGTGGTGGAGGTGGTGGTGGTGGTGGGGGAGGAGTAGGGGCACCAGTGGTGGGGGGAGGAGGCTGGCTGACACGGTGTGATGACTGTGAAGGGGACTGAGAGGCCTGAGGTCTGTGATGACTGGGGTGAGGTCTCTGGTTGGGATGATAATGACCAGGATGGCTACCATGGTTACTGCTACCTCCGCTGTTACCCAGACCAGCCCCACTATTGTGCCGACTGTCACCTTTGTCATAGCGTCCACCATCGCGATGCTTCGAGTTTCTGTCATTGAGAGAAGATAAAAAATAACAATCACAATATTTATTCACCAAAAAAATTTGGATAGGAAGGGGGCAGCAGCTCCACTTTTAATGCCAAAATGCCGCTTTTCTATCTACCAATAGTTTCATCCATAAAGGGTAAACGGAGTACAGTACTATACAAAACTCAAACAAAAAACACACAGTATCTACAAGTAAAAAGAATTAGAAACTTCTGGTTGGCTGCTGAGAGTCTTACAACCACCACTCTCTCTACAACTTGTTTAGTGATTCTTTTAAGAGGTAAGAGTACCCCCACTTACCCATTCATTCAGTCCAGAAGATATTAACACACATTAATTGCATTGTTTGACCATTTTTTCTTCACTCCAGGAGGCTGTTTCAAGCATCTGGTGCCAGAATTATAAGCTACACAAGCTCTCCTCTCACTGACTGCTTTAACGAATTCAAAACAACACTACTTACCTTCTGCTATTGGGGTATCTAATGTTGTGATTAGTAGGAGGTTTGAAGGCAGCTTGTGGTGAGAGACCATTAAACTGCAGAAAGCTATTGATGTCATAGAAACCCCCTGGAGGTGTCCACTGCATCATGTTGGGATAAAACTGAAACACGACACAATATATCAAATTAAAGGAACTATAAATTATACCTTTTAATGCAAAGCTCAAAGTAGATTGTTCTTTTCATAACTAACCTCTGTAGCTACACCATATTTCCCAAATCTTGCTACTTTATCCATACTCTATATCCATTGTAACATGCTCAAGGGGTTAACAAACATTGGGGCAAGGAAGGAAGTTGACGGGCACTCACTCGGTACATAATTCAAAAAGCTTACACACTAATGTCACTAAAACACGTCACTTGGCAGCATATTATTCCCCTGCCTAGTTCCATATACAAGTGTATCAATCTGGCAACTCCTTCTGCCACGCACCCCAGCAGTGGAGGATGAATGGATAATGAGAGTGCAATGTTTTCTGTATTTTACCATTTGACACTTGGGTTAACAATATCAATACCACGAACACACCCGCAACCAGATGAGTCAGGGTACGTCAGTTCGGAGACTTGTTCCCGTGACTCGCTTTCACCACGGAGAGCAAACTCTTGCCCGAGATTGTACCTACAACCACGGTTGTACTTTTGTATTTATAAATATTTCTCCAACTGAACATCAAAACCTCAACCACTATTGTTTTTTTCCCTTCCAGCATCAGTGATGTTTCCATTATCAAATTCCTAGACTATGACATACAACCTAATTCATTTGTAGTAAAATAGTGTATACAGATAAACATAGCCAATAAAAATTATTCACCACATTAAACCTTCATTATTGAGATAATACTAATAAAATACTCACAAAGGCAGTGGGCATGGGCGTTGTAGGTGTGGTGTAGGAATACGAGTAAGTGTTGGCATTGGCAGACGACGGTGTGGGATACATGAACCTCTGGTTTCCTGGATTGTTGAAATTGCTAGAGGAAGCAGGAGTGCCAGGTCCACTTTGGAGACCTGCTGAACCTGGAGTAGATGGTGGAGCTGTGCCTTCCTTCCCTTCACCTGCTCCTTTATTCCCATATGACGGTAATACTGATAGGCAACCAAGTCTTGAAATTGGCTTTGTCTTTATTCTGGCAAGGATAGGCTTATCCTGAAAAGTACAAGCAAAATTACAACTTCATATCTTAGACATGAGTATGCATCTAAGTCTCTTATTCTTCAAACAAAATTTAATGACAACATTATCCTCTCCGGTATCCAGGCTTCAGAAACACAGAACATTACTCACCTTGAAAGTTTTAACAACACCCCGAAGATACCAGTAGGCTTTTTGTGCGTCTTCATCCGATTCAAATGTGACGTACCATGAAGAGTTGTGGACGAATTCACAAGATACCACCTTTGGACACTCCTCACTCTTAAACATGGACTGAAATACAAAAAGTCTAGAACACAGGATCATCTCTACACCTAACATATAAACTGAACGACTGTAACATCTCTGGAGACTTGACAAGATACATCCAATGAATATTTTACTATTACACATCTTACTATCTTCAGCACAGATTGAATTACACCAGGATCATTCACCGCTGCTAAACATGACTGGTGCTTAAAAATCACTGCCGACAGGAGGAAACTCACTTCAATTTCATCAACCGGAGTCGACTCGGGAATTTCTCTGAGAATCACGATACAACGTTTATAGTTAGGTCGCACTCTGTTGTTCTCTTCATCCAACTGTACAAACGGCGACTCTGGAAAGGACATTGAGAGAAAATTACACCCCATCTAAGATTTGACAACTTTTTAGAGAATAACAAACAAAATACTGTGGAAAATATTTAGGGGAATAATGACGGACTTTGATGGATACACAACACTCCTCATGGTTAATAATTTCAATTACCAGAAAATGTATGTGAAAGGGGACATCATATGGCATGTAGCAATGGTAAACTCCACCTGTGGATAAATTACTCCCACAAAAAATTAGTTATGGGTCATATCCATTGTGTTTGTGTGCATTAGGAAACATTTAGTGTGGATTCAAGCCTTAAAATCATTATCCTGCTATGAAACCTCCAGGAATGCTGTTTCATTCTACCAATTTCCCCCCATCACAGATCACCTAAAATAGTGAATGATGAGAAGGGAGGGAGGAAGACATTACAAAAGGCAGGAAACAAAGGGAGTGAAGAATTGTCTACATAATCTACAGGAAGATGATCTACACAACCTCACATATTGAAGAAACATATCTTCCTTGTGAACAAATGCACTGCTAGAAAATTCTTCATATATGACATGTTAAAAGATGGCAGGACAAGTAGCTTAGGATTGTCCGTCTTAAATCTATTGCCAACCTCGCATAACCAGTTTCTCTTCCAATTACACTTCCTGGCTTGACAGTACCTCAGTTTTAATCCAATGCTCTACTTCATATATAAAGTTGCATGACACCCTGTACACTAGTTACAACCATATATAACTAGAGGAATTACAACTTTTCTCTGCCATTCTTTACCAAACAAATGACAACATAAGGAGATTACTATTTAATAACTCATAACACATCATACACCACCCTACACTGCTGATCCTCCCCCCAACATACATAAGGAACCCACACACACATAATAAGAAGTTATCAGGGTAAGAGAGAGACAACACACCTTTAAGAGCCTCAACAATAATGCTGTGGTCCTTGGTGATATTCTTGAACTGTGAGCAGTTGGCTAATATAAACACTGGCACATACTGGTCACTATCCATTTGTGATATCAAGTAAGGATCGTTGCTCAAGTTTTCTCTGGAAGAAAAAAGTATCATCATTAATTGCTATGGGTCGAAGAGATGTAAAGTTTTATCTAACCTGTGAAGTAGGATAAAAACTTGCCACATGAATTTTCCAAAGATATTACATACATATATTACTTAGAGCAAATTTAGCTAACACTCAATCCCACATGATTTAGGATATTATACAAACAAGAAAATATCTCAATACAAGAACACAAGACAGACAGTTGGCTAGGTGGATGAACAGTATAGTATACAGTTGACGTCTTTTCCTATTATTGTATCATATATTCCATAAATGGCACTGTCATATCAAGTGCTTGGCGTTGCATTACTGTACATTACAGCACCCTCTCCCACTCTCTATCCGCTCTCAAAATATCCAACTTTACTGCTGTGTGTCATTTGGGGGAAACACATGAATTTAAAGAGAAATACTGTACTGTAGTTACAACAGCAACAAATGCCCCTACACCAAATGAACCACCACTGCTTATACACTTGAGTACTACACTAATATATTGAGTTGGGCCACAAACACCACTGAACATATTTACAACTACATACAGGCTGTACTGTATTGTAATGAACTTTAATCACTATTAAAGGAGATAATAAGATGCCCATAGACAATACACTAACAAATAAATTATATATACAGTACAGTGTATATGTAAACTAGTTTTATTTATAAAACACAGTTGTGGTTTGTCTATAGCTTGCAAACAAGATTCATGGTGTGTGTGTAACCACTTTTGGACACTTGACAATGCACTTGACAAGTTACATCCAATGGGGTATTATATTATTGCACACTTTCTGCCACACTCCCTTTATATCTGAGAGCATGGAAATGATGTGTGCTAAGAATGACTGATAAAACAAGGGCTTAAAAGTTAGTTGGGATGGTTGTAATAGGAAATTATTAGGGAGCTAAACTATAAAACGTCACCCTGGCCAAGGATTACCACAGGGCAGAGATATTACTGATAGTTATAGCAAGAAACATCAAAATCTCAAGTTATCCATCTGAAGACCTTGAATATTTAAAGCAACTCCCAGTAACCAAGGTTGGAAACTTGATGCTGGGACAATCAAGATGCTTGGCCCTGAAGCAGACAAGTCCTCAAACCTACTAACGAGGTAGATAGCTGCCCAGTGAAAACATGAGTCTTTCCACTTCTGAATATACCCCTTGTGCATGTCCAACAGTATAACCAAAATGATATACTTAATTATATATACAGTAATCCTGTGTTTTTCGCATTTTTTTTATCGCGGTTTTGACCATTCGCATTTTTTTTACTAAAAAATTATATACGAGGTCTGTCCAAAAAGAAACCAAACTTTTTGAAAAACAAATTTATTGCTTTACCAACTTAATCAGACTTGTCTCCCTATCGTCTGAAATCAGCGACCTTTCAACTTTGGGAACCAAAAAAAGTCTGCAGGGGCCAAATCCGGAGTGGGGCGGCTGGGGGACGCTAGTCGGCTCGTGCTTCGCCAAAAAGTCACCGATAACTAGCGACCCGTGAGCAGGTGCATTGTCATGGTGCAGCATCCAGGTCTTGTTTGTCCACGCCTCAGGCCTCTTCTTTCGCACTGCCTCCCTCAAATGCTTCAGGACCTCCAAGTAAAACTCTTTATTGAGTGTCTGAGCACGTGGAACAAACTCATGATGAACAATGCCCTCCCAATCAACATCACCTCCACATTTGAGCGACTCTTGACGTCCAGATTTGGGATATTCTTCGGTGGATGTTCTTCCCCTTTTGAAAAGCTGGTACCACACGTGACACTGCGTACTGCTTAAACAATCCTCCCCATAAGCCTGTTGCAACATTTGAAAAGTCTCCTTAAAAGTTTTTTCCAATTTGAAACAGAATTTCACACAAACGCATTGTTCTTCAGGATCCTTCATTGTTCAACTTGCAACAAATCGCCAAGTGCACTAAACGCACGTTCACTTTAGCGCATGTAGCTCGATGACTAATTGATGTGGCGTGATGTGGCTAGTGTTAGACTAAAGGTCAAGGTCACCGCTACACAGCGCTCCTATCATGAGCACGCTGCGCTGGCTCGTTGGCGCGCTACTTAATATGTTTGGTTTCTTTTTGGACAGACCTCGTATATATAAAATATCCTTTAAAAACAAAAATTTATATTTCGCGCCATTCTCGATATTCCCCTGTGCGGTGCAGCAGACAGAAGCCACCTTATCCCGCCTCAGACACCCGCTGCTCCGAGAAGCTAGAGGAGAAGGAGGAGGAGGAACTATAAAGGTGTGCTCAGTCCACACGTGCCTACAGTACAGTACTACGAACGCTACTGTGATTACCTCTTCTGTTTGTCCTCCCACGTGCATTCGACATGGCTCCGGACGCAAACCAGCCTCATCAACGGCAAATATTACTAGCAAAGGCTCTAAAGTGACCAAGAGATCAAGAATAGTGATGACCTTAACGGAAAAAAAAGTTTTATTGGACAAGCTCAGAGGTGGTATGAGCTATGGCTCAAGATGTGGTGAAGACTGACAATTCATTTGTGTCTTTTATCAAAATACAAGTCTTCAAGTAGAGGAATGTGGGTAAGAGAGAACTGGCTGGCTGGCGGACTGAGTGAGGGCGGGCAGACGCCAGGACAACAGGGAGGCTGGCAATGAAGCTTTTGCCGACCACAGCGAAAAAAAAAAATTATTATTTACTTGTAAATAACTTTTTTGTATATAACCGTGTTTACGTTTTTCCATTATTATACTACAATATGATTAGTTTCAAATAATGATGTTAGTAAATGACGGTACAGTGGATCAGTGTGACCATTGGGCTGTGAGCAGAGAGCTGTTTGGTGGCCACGGGTACAGCGATTCCTAAAAGAGTATTCACGGTTTTGGCTTTTCGCGGGGGTTTCAGGAACGTAATTCCCGCGAAAAACACAGGATTACTGTACTACAAATATGTGATACAACCCCAAATGTTCACTACACACACACTAAATAATTATACACCAAGCTTAAACATATTTCAGCAGCATCCAACTTTAACTCCAGCCATTCTAAAGTCACCTTTTATGACATGTAAGAAAGCACCGAATATCTTTTATCTGATACAGAACATCTGGACAGTTCTGGGGAGAAATAAATAAAGAAAAACAAAAGGTAAATATAACTGACCTGGAGAAAAAGTATTCGACCTGCTGCGCCACCTCCTGCTTTATCTGGTCCCGGGTCTGTTGGATGGACTGCTGAGGCTGTGCAGGAGGAGTCTGTGCAGGTGTGCTTGGTGTAGGAGTCTGTGCAGGGGTGGTCTGTGTGCCCTGGGTCTCGCTGGTGGTGAGGTGTTCTTTAGTCTTATTTTCTGGCGACTCTTCCTCTTTCTTATCTGGATCTTTGCCATCTTCAACAGACACACTGCTTCTACTACTAGGAGGTGGGGTTGGCAGTGGGGTGGGAAGGGGGGAGGCACTTGGTTGACCGCTCTCCGGAGACACTTCACCATTCTGCTGTGAACTACTGAGGGAAGTGCAGGCTTTTGCATTCCCCTCTTGTTCCTTGTTTTGTGCAGCTGCTGCCATATCCTCTGTTGTCTTGGGAACCAGAGCAGTCTTTCCTGGGGGCTGGCCTGTGGTAGTGCCAGCCTCTACAGGTAATGATGTGTTGGGGGAGGAGGTGGAGGCCTCCACGGGAGACTCTACTGCCATGGGGCCAGGAGTGGGGGGGCATGCCCCGCAATACTGTTTGGCGACATCCCCATTCATGAAGGGGTAAACTGAAAAGAAACAGTATTTTTTCTATAGACCTTTGCAAGGTTCTCAAAGCAGAAAAAATGAGTAATACAGTATAAGAATGTAAAACAAAATTAACACTAAAATATAAATATTTCCCACAACATTAATTAATTTTCCAATATCAGTTATCAATTCCTACTATCAATGCAAAATAATAGACTCACACACTTTTTGTGCATTTCTGCTATCTCTTATTGTAATAGGAAAATTTTAAAGACCCCCCCCCCCACACACATAATTCTCACAAGGCCTTTCCTAGAGCTTTATCATATTATCCGTTCTGGTATTCCCCTTCAGACCATAAGTTATCTAACAGGTATACCATTACTCCACACAATCTACCATTACAGAGCAGCAGCTCACCTAACTCTAAAATCAAGTTAAAGCCAAGATCTTATCATCATTACTCTTTATACAGGGCAGCTGGCAAAACAAACACACACACACTTTCTCCCTTCACTTATTCTTACTGATATACAAAATGTGTTTTACATGTACTATGGCAGCTATCCATTTCCACAAGGACCCAAGACCAATAAGCATCAGCAACTGGATTACCCCGGGTGCTGGACAAATCGTACCCAATTTACGATACTACAGTATATACAAATACAGTATATCGCAGCGTATAAATCGACCCGATTATTTTCAGGTTAAAAGTTTGAATTAGGCCCATTCTTGGCATTTAAGTCGACTGCAGAACTTCCACGCTACAAAGCAGCATCCCTTTGATCATCCTACGTCACGTCCTTCAATAGTCATGTATCACAGTCAGGTTATTCGGCGACTTTGTGATGCGTGACTATCGAAGGACGTGATGCCGGATGACCAAAGGGGTGCCACCTGGGTCCACTAATCCTATGTGAGCGAGTTCAGTTTTGAATATAAGCTCGGACTTTGTTTCATAGCTCCAGTACCGTTTCAGCCCTTGTCAAGTTCAGTACTTGCAGTGCAATGTTTGTGTGATGGAATTACATACTTATGTAATGAGAGGCAACCAGTTTAAAGTGCTGCACTACATTTCACTATTTCACTGCACTTTCCTACAAGATTTACATAATCTTTTTTGTAATCATAGATAAAACTAAAATGCACAGCATATATACTAATAGGTAGGGATTATCTCTTGAATTGGGTGCAAGTAATCTTGGGTATGACTTATCTAGGTACAAGATGACCCTAACCCGATTATCCCCCAAAAGCTTCCAGGTCTTACCGAACTTCTACAAAAACAGTCGAGTAATCGCCACATCTCTTAAGTCTTTGATTACAAGGTTTCCAAAGACATGATTCTGGCTTCTGCCATTGACAACACCGCCGCTAATCATGCAGACCAATCTCGCCATGATGTCTCACGATGGCCGCTAACTGCGCTCATCATATCTCTCGCTCACTATTAGGTTTCTCAAGGGTCCCTATAATTAGCCTCGGCCAATTAGCAAAAGTATTAAAACATTTCCTAGATAAAAACAAATAATTTGTCACCAATTCTTTCCTGTGCAGCATACTTCTGGTAATAATGGTTTCATCAGGGAATTTTTTTTTAATACAACATGCAGATTTGAGATAGAATTTCACTATAATAATAAATGGGAAAAAATAAAAATGCTGCAAACTGAAAATTACTGTAAGGGGTGACATAGTTGGGAATTCTCTGTTTTTGTAAGATTCAAGTGAGGTTTCAAAAACTGGTTATGTTCTATGTGTGGTTCTGGGATACAGATAACACTACAAATTATAATTACTGATATCCATTATTATTAACATAAAAACAACTTTAGAGGAAATTAACCTAAGTGAGAAAACTTTAGGGTACAAATAATAAAAACAAACGAATGATAGGCGAGGCATAGAATTAGTTGACAATATTAGCTGTAATACTATATACAAATAGCCAGGGTACTCAGCTACGTAGGTATCCAGAAAAGTATTTAGTTAGAACAAGACGACGTAAATTAAAAATATATTCACGTACAGAATTACATTTATGCACAGGTGACTCAAGGCAACTATACAATTTAGAAAAAATTAAAAATTGTGGTTAAACACCAGCAGTGAAATGATGAAAATTTTAATTATGGCTTAATGTTACACTACGTCTATCAAAAATTTCCTTTGGTCAGTTCACTTTAATATACCAGTCTGGGCATACAGTATAAACAGTGTCAGTGACTTTACTCCTTTGGCTCCCTTTCTGTTAGGAAGTTAAGACCTTCTAGCTTTACTTACAGGAGAAATCACTTCTATGTTGCCACTGCTCCCTTCCCATCCAGACCCGATGCCAACAACTGACACTTATGGATGATGGTGTCAACACAATTTCTGCTGACAGGAATCTTTCAAGCACAGTCAGTGTACTGTTCTACCTCACTTAATCTGGCTCTTTAACCCTAACTGGCAGCTTAGCCCCTTCCCTCCCCTACAGCAGGATAGGACTCCTAGCAACAGATTTAAATTGGATAAGTTTAGGTTTAGGAGGGAGATAGGAAGGAACTGGTTAACAAATAGGGTGGTGGACGAGTGGAACAAGCTTAGCAGCTTTGTAGTAAGTGCTGGAATGCTGGAGAGTTTTAAAAGGAGGCTAGATAGATTCATGGATGATAGAGTGGTAGTTACTCTCGACAGGAGCTGCCATGCACAGGCCAACCGGCCTATTGCAGACTCCTTATTTTCTTATGTTCTTAAGGGTTTACCTGTACTGTATACCTTGATGATGTGTTTGATGTGGTATACATTTCTAACAAGATGCATGGATCCTATCAAAGGTATCAAACGAGTTTTATTTTTGGTCGTGCCGCACTTCAGTCAATGCCTGTCGTCTTAGAAGCCACCTCTTACACGACAAAAACCAGACTTAAATTCTATGCTGTACTTAATACCCTAAAATCTTTTGAAAACAATCACCACATCTCTTGTCCCTTGGCCCCTCTGCTCCACCTCAAACAAATCCAACAAAGTAAAAAAAATTGCAAGCCATCCATAAATAACCTCAACACCTCTGTGCGTGTAAGCAAAGGAATGTCCCACATCATCAGTTTTTTAAGGAAATGGCAAGACAACAAAAAATGCACACACACAGCAAATCACCTTGTCCACTTTAACACTACATTTAAGTCATTCAGTTTGACAAATACCATTAAACAATGACTCAGACAAAAATGGAATGGATTAAATACTGTAATTACCCAACAAGTCACTTACCACATCAGGAGATACAAGTCGAGTCTGATATGGATAGCCAAGCATGACAAGGATGTGACTATCTGCTCTGGTATTTAAAACTAAAAAGTAAAATAAAACAGTATCTTGTTATTTCCCCATAAAACTCAAAAGGTGTGAAGATTAGCCCCCAGTTTATATCACCCGCTGATTAAAAACCCTAACGATACCTGGTGGGAATTAATTAAGTTATGTTAGTGGTTAACTTTCAGGTGAAACTGGCATGATCCAGTTCATTGGAACATTGGAACATTATCCCTTTAACACTGGCTAAAGGACCCCCCCCCGCCCCTATGTATAAAATGGAATAAAAGAAAAGACAATTTACCATTTGTACAACAGCCAGTATGATCTGTACAGACGAACCACATGCTTAAAAAACTTGTAGTGGATATAAGTACGGCCGCAGTATTGTCAATGGCTAGGTTATAAGAACATATGAATGGAGGAAACTGCAGCGGGCCTATTGGCCCATACTGGGCAATCCCATTTACACCCAACCCTATAGCGAATATAGCAATCCAACCTATGTTTGAAGCTACCCAGCGTAAAGTTAACGATGATGTTTGCTAACTTGTTCCACTCGTCCACTATATTTCCAACCCATTGTTTACCTATTTCGCGCCTAAATCTAAAGTTGTCTAATTTAAAGCCATTGTTACGAGTTCGCTCCAGGTTGGATATTTGAGTACCTTTGTTATATCATCTTTGTTTAGCCCTGACTTCCATTTATACACCTCTATCATGTCGCCCCTCGCTCTACGTCTCTCGAGGGAGTGCAAATTAAGATGCTTTAACCTGTCTCTGTACTCAAGGTTCCTAATGCCTGGAATTAGTCTCGTCATTCTCCTCTGAATTATAGGGTAGGGTAGGTTAGAAAGAAGGCCATCTTAGTAACCACCATTGTCTAGTCTGTTCACCATGCATGTGTTTACAGCAGCTGTACTGAGACATCGACGTTTCACAGACAGCTGCAGCACCTGTATCCTGTACCAATTAAAAACACTTTACTCGATACGTCTTCCACGAGCCGATGGTACAACTTATAATATTATCTGACCAATTATATTATTATTTAGAATATATATACATATATATATATACAGTATATGGTATTAACAACCCCCCGCCCCTCCCACAGGTTCTTACACTCAACCAATCAGAGGTTTTGTTTGTCAGTCCACTCATCTTGTTTGGTGTACTGTGTTGGGCGGGGTTGTTGGGTTGTCACCGACCAACATTGCTCGTTGCTATTCAAATATTATTTTTTTTAGTTACTCGATTTGTAAGTATTATTTGAGTTAAGTATTTAAAGACACGATGTATCAGCTTGTTATTGTGGAACATACCGGTAAGACTGATAATGATAACAGCAAAATACTGAGACGAGAGAACGTAAAACTGTTGCAACGTCAAAATACAGTACTGGACGGGAAATCATCAAAATACCGATTTTTATTATAAGCAAACGCAGCCTTCGCAAACTTCAAAGTACGGCAGCTGAGAAATAACCTCCAAGTACGGCAGCTGAGAAATTAACAAACACATAGTATATAAAGATACAAATCATAAGACTATGTGTATATATAGAGGAAATATAACACTGTGTAAAATTTATTACATAAAAAACTTGCTGGACTTGTTAAAAATGTCACTAGAAACTTTTTAAAATGTGATTAAGAGTGAATAATGTGATGTGTTTCCCTCCTTATTTAGTTGACAGTGAGGGCAGGTGTGAGGTAGCTCCCCAGCAGGTAATTAAACACCGTAATAATAAAAGTAAAGACAGCAGGAGAGACAGCCAAGGTTCGTCAGCATCAGTCTAAACAGCTGTTCCCAACCCCCATGATGGTCTGCACAATTTTCTAACACGGAATTTCTACAGTAGTGTTGTGAGGTCGTGTTGGTTGTTATCCCTCAGTGGTTGTTGGTTAATAAAGGGTTAAGGTGGTGGTGGTGTTAGTGGGGTGAGAGAGGACACGGCCAATATGGATACAAAACATGCTAGGTTGACGACCGCCCTCCCCCTCCCCCAACACCACACCACCAGGTAATATGGCTCTTCTGTATCTCCTCCAACATCATCACTGAGTTAGAATTGTTGGTGAAGACTAATATAAGTGATGGGAGAGACGCACATGGTTGAGGCCTGGTGAGGGAGGCAGCAGCGTCCAGCCCCGAGAGTAACAACACACCCGACCACCACCGTATATCCCGCACCACCACATACACGCACACATTTCTCCTCCATCACACGGCTATACGGCCATGTACCTCCTTATTTCTGCATCTAAAAAGACGCTCTAATAACCAGGGCGACCTACCATACTACTATTGGCCATGGTGGCAGTAGGAAGAGAGGAAAAACTCACAGAGATGAGGGACTCTTGCCTAAGGGAGACGACCTAGATATTCCAAGATGGCTGCCGCACCGGCCGCATGGCAGTAGCGCGGTGCATCTTGGGAGCCCCGCCGCTGCTGCCATCTGCCGCTCATACCGCACTCACACAGACTCTCCATTATCAACTATAACATTGCAAGTACACAAATACAAATCAACACATACAGTACATCAGCAACACTGTAAGTACATCAAAACACACATTATCTATAACTTTAACAGTACACAAACCACTAGAACATTAGTAAGCGTGCTTCACGTGCTACAATTATCACGTGTCTTCCAATACTACATTACACAACACACCATAACACCCACTGTACTGCTACTAATGATGTACATGCAGTGTGTGTGTGTACCACAACTGTTAAGTGTGTATACGTTAAGTACACACATTTAATGACTAGTGTGAATTTTCATGTATCATAAGGAGTCTGCAATAGGCCGGTTGGCCTGTGCATGGCAGCTCCTGTCGAGAGTTACTACCACTCTCTATCATCCATGAATCTATCTAGCCTCCTTTTAAAACTTTCCAGCGTTCCCACACTTACTAAAAATTGCTAAGCTTGTTCCACTCGTCCACCACCCTATTTGTGAACCAGTTCCTTCCTATCTCCCTTCTAAACCCAAACTTATCCAACTTAAATCCGTTGCTACGAGTCCTGTCCTGCTTGGATATAAGAACATAAGAATGGAGGAAACTGCAGTGGGCCTATTGGCCCATACTGGGTAGTCCCATTTACACCCAACCCCTATTGCTCATATAAGCTATCCAGCGTATTCGAGTTAATGATGATATTTGGTATCTTGTTCCATTCATCCACTACTCTGTTTCCAAACCAATGTTTACCTATTTCGTGCCTAAATCTAAATTTGTCTAATTTAAAACCATTGTTACGAGTTCGCTCCTGGTTGGATAGTTTAAGTACCTTTGTAATGTCCCCTTTGTTTATTATAAGAACTTTATCTATATCCCCTTTATTGATTCCTTTCACCCACTTAAATACTTCTATCATATCTCCCCGCACTCTTCGTCTTTCTAGGGAATGCAAGTTAAGTTTCTTTAACCTATCCTGATATGGAAGGTTTCTAAGTCCCGGAATCATTTTCGTCATTCTTCGCTGCACCGACTCCCGTGAATTGATATCCATTCTATAATAGGGGCACCAGAAATGAACAGCATAATCAAGATGCGCCCCGACTAGCGCAAGATATACTAGTTGCAATAAGACCTCTGCACTCTTGTTACTAACACTTCTAGATATAAAACCCAATACTCTGTTTGCCTTATTTCGAACATTAACGCACTGTTTTCTAGGCCGTAGGTCCGGGCTTACAAGTACCCCTAGGTCTCTTTCACAAGTCGACTTCTCTAGGTTGATGTTGTTAAGGCTGTATACATTGACAGTATTTGTTCTTCTAATATTAAGTACGCTGCACTTGCTGGTGTTGAATTTCATTTGCCATTAGGTTAGGTTACGTCAACCCCGGCCCTTACTTACCACTTGAGTGAAATCCATTGATGGTTGGCGTCACGGCGTGAGGTGTGGTGGGCGTGTGGGCGGCGTGTAGGGCGGGAGGCAGATGGAACACCGAAGCCTCCGGATTGAGCACTGCGCCGCCTCCACCAGACACCTGCACCGGAGGACAAAAAGTATACATTATCATACAACACCAGTGAATACAGTATACATTATCATACAACACTAGTGAATGCAGTATACATTATCATTGCTATTATCATCATTACCCTCGCCCCCCATATCAACGTCTAATTCACACACACACACTAGGTAGAAGGAGGGAGACGAGGTAGGAAGAGAGTAGCGAGAGTGGAGAGGAAAGAATGAATTTGGTGCAAGCGGAAGAAGGAATAATAAGGAATATAGGTGGACACGGGAATAGAGGAAGAGAGAGAAGAGGAATAATGAAGGAATGAAAAAAAAAACAAAAAACAAGACGACCTGTAGAACATCAATAAAAACGAGAGAAAGAAAGATAAAAAAAGAGAGAAGAGGAGAAAGAAGATGGAGAAGAAGGAGACAAGGTGGAAGAAACAGCAAGAGAAAGTGGAAAATGGAAGAGAAGAAAAAAGATGAAATACAGGAGACGGTGTATCCACGAGGCGAAACGGTCCACTGCACTTACCATGAGAGAGAGAGAGAGAGAGAGAGAGAGAGAGAGAGAGAGAGAGAATTAAAACATAAAGAATGAAAGAGAGAGACTGTTAAAGGTGAAGAAGGGAGAGGGAGCATCCAAGAATGAACAAGGAAAAGGATTAAGTAGGTAGGTTTAGAGATAATCCCCCCCTCCCCCCCGGCCAGGTGAGGTAGTAGTGAGAGGTCCTAGAATTCTCCTGAGAGAGAGAGAGACGACTTGAGGTAGGTTAAGGTTAGGTTAGATTCGGTGAGCAGGGTCTAATTGAAATTGAAAAAAATTGAATTGGTGAGCAAGGAGAGAGACGGGTCCCCATATAAGGTGAGAGGGAGAGACAACCCCCCCCCCTCCACGAGGTGAGGGAAGTGGGTGGGGAGAGAAGAGACTTGCCCCCATTGGGGTGAGGAGGTGTTGGCGACCTTGGCAAGTATGTAAAGTTGACCGTCCACCACCCTTGCCAAGTCTCCCCCTCACACACACACACACACACACACAGTTAACAGTTAAGTGTAGTATATAAACTGGTGTGTGTGTGGGGGGGGGTGAGGGGGTATCAAGAGGCACACCTGTGAGCACCTGTATACGACCACAGGTGTACAGCCAAGCGGTTATTAAAGACTTATCTCTTATGACGTAAACATTTAGTGTATTGAATAACATTTCTTGGGTCACCTGTAGACTGCCCATCCCAACTTATTTCCCCCGAGGATTAACCACCCTAACGCGAACCTTACCTCACCTAACCCCCCCTTCATATGGTGCATTAGTATGATAAAATCTTCATCAGAACCCACACTATACGCACACACAATACACCCTTACCATCTACTAACCGGAAGTAAACACACACACACACACACACACACACACACACAAAGACTATAGCTAACCCTATATCTAATCCTCTATCTCACACCTGTACAGTTGAGGCCAAAATCACCTGAACACTTGTGGTGTATATATGTGATTGCCTCATACCGAAACAAGAAGAAAAATATATGAGTAAAAAGAAGTAAATATAATTGTAAATAAGTGTAAATAATGTAAAATAAGCCTCCCTCTTACCCACATCACACACAGGTACAGTATGCCAAATTGTACCCCAAAAATATGTTCATTGATTTTTGTTCACGATGGTATTTAATAATAATAATAATAATAATAAGATACCAAGACAAGCAACTGGCGCTGAATAAGATGCAGAGACGAGACCTGGAATACATTTGTAGATGAAAAAGAATAAATTATCAAATAATATCACTAAACACGGTTCACGTTGTTGAGATACACAGTGATAGTGTGTGTGTGTGTGTGTGTGTGTTCCAGTAAGACGACTGTACTGTATACGGTGTTGTTGTCATCCTGCCTCGTGTTTACTGAGGTCAGGTCACATGAGAGGGAAGGGGGAGGAGAGGGTGGTCCATCACACACTTAGGTCAGGTCACATGGGGAGGTTGAGAGGATGTGGTTGAGGAGGGGGAGAAGGGGTGGGAGGATGGAGGGGTAGGTGAGGAGGTGGATAGGGGGTAGAAGGATGAATGGGGAGTGAGGGGGAAGATGGGGAAAGGAGAGGGAGGGAGTCCATCACAAACACTACAGAGACCAGACAACGTCCATCCACCAATCACAGCTCACGATAATTCCCCCTGGGACACTCCCCCCTTCTCCCGAAGGGTCAAACTAACATCACCCCTAACCCCTCTCTCTGACCCTGTGACCTGACCTGACTGACCCCACACACACACACACTGTAAAAGCTTCTGCGCTTCACCTTGCACAGGATGTAAGGGGGTGCCCAATAAACTAGCCCCCTTGGGGGCAATCTAAAAAAAATCTTAAATCTTTAAGACATTCTTACTCTAGGTTGACTAAAATGTGCCTGTCTCTCTCTCTCGCTCTCAAAAACACTAGAATGAAGGAAACTGCAGTAGGCCTATTGGTTCATACATAAGAACATAAGAAAATAAGGAGTCTGCAATAGGCTGGTTGGCCTGTGCATGGCAGCTCCTGTAGAGTTACTACCACTCTCTATCATCCATGAATCTATCTAGCCTCCTTTTGAAACTTTCCAGAGTTCCAGCACTTACTACAAAGTTGCTAAGCTTGTTCCACTCGTCCACCACCCTATTTGTGAACCAGTTTCTTCCTGTTTACACCCAGCCCATCTCACTCACATTATCTGCCCAACCTAATCAAAACCTAGCGTACGCCGAAATCAAAACTTTGTCTAATTTAAAAACCATCGCTAAGTGTTGGCTCTTGGTTTGATAAGTTTAATTAACCTGTTTAGGAGTTAAATCACATCGAGTTAATCTTCAGGTGAAACAAATGGTGGGGCTAATCTTGGGGTGTTCTACTGGCGAACCCACACACACACAACCTTGAGTCGGCCAGTTTTCTGTGACTAATATAAACAGGACCGGTGAGCCACCTTAAACTACCCGAAGCACTGGACTGTGTGTGTGTGTGTTAAAGCTGGACAATGTTACCTATTTTTCCCATTCTCTTCCCCAACTACACACCACACCATACCCTATGTACACCATCTAATACATGTACATAATGTTTATACTTACACGTTTGCATACACACATATAATTTCCGGTTTACGTCCATAGTCTTGTACACTTCCACATCGACCAACAGACTAAAGGCAGGCATGGGCGACTGCCGACCCCACGTCAACATACACTGTGACAAGATGTGTGAGTGTTGAACATATATGCTCGCTCTCTCTCTCTCTCTCTTTGACACCTTCATACAAACTGCCGCCCCCTCCACCCCCCCCTCTCTCTCGGGCACTAGAAATAGCTCAACTCCTCGCTGCCCAGTCCGTTCCGGTACAAGCACAAGCATCTCGCATACACTCACACCACAAGCACCTAAGACACGTATACGGTATTGGTAAACAGTAGAATAGGGAAGGATAGGTTAGGTTAGGTCAATATTGTTGTGGAAATAGGGATAACAAAAGAATCACCACCCCAGCTTATTTCACCTAACACCCTACCCTCACTTCATCTCCTCCCCCCCCCCCACAAATGGTGTTAGGGTGGTTAGTCTTTAAATTAAATAACCTGGGTTAGATTAGGTTAGGTTAATCTTTTAGGTGAAATAAGCTGGGGTGGTGGATGAGTGGAAAAAATTACCATATCAACCTTATCATTAACTGGCTGGTCAACTACAAATATTATTAGTTTGGGAGAGATAACGAGTGAGAAAGGTTAGTTGTAAACAAGAGGTCTGGGTCAATAACAGGTCTACTGCAATCACATTCACCAATCACAAACACCACAACCAATTTAAAGCTCACTGTCGGTACAAAATGCCAAAAGCATATAAGTGATTCCACACACACACTCTCACACAGTCCTGCTAATCTTTGTCCTTTTTTGTACGGGGATTATTTCGCCTGAGGTGTACTTGACCCTTACTTAATCTGTACTTGTCGACAGCAGCAACAAGTACACTCACTCCCCCGGTTCGCTCGTGTACTGTAACTTAACAATATAATCTTTTTCCTCCTCCCAAACCTGACTATTCCCTGCTGTGTGTGCGTGTCCAAGAGGAATGTATGTACGTCTAAATGGATGCAGTGTAGGCTTATGAGAGTACACATACACAGGGGGAGAGGTAGGGAAGAGAGAATGGACGGGTAAGGGGGAAGGGTAAGGGGGAGGGGTAAGGGGAGGGAGGTGTTGATGGCAGTAAGATGTAAGTGAACTAGACTATAAATATATACTACTATTAACTCGTCAACTGAATCACCACACGCCTTCCGCACACCACACGCCTTCCCCACACCACCACAGGCCTTCCCCACACCACCACAGGCCTTGCCACAATCATTAAAGTGTTATGAATCGCCACAGTTATCACACTGACTCCGTCTCTCACTATTTACATCCCCCCCCCACAAATATCTCTCCTGTTAACGTCCAGGTTATCTTTATCTTACCGTTATCTTACTGTAATATTTATCCGGCTCTCCCCTCATGTTATCTTACCACCCCCCACCCGTCCCCCCCAACACATAACTGCCCCAACTACAACAACAATACTGATATATGTGTGTGTGTGTGTGTTAGGGTGTGGCAAGGTAACTAGTGTGTGTTAGGGTGTGGCAAGGTAACTAGTGTATGTAGAGGAAAAAGTGGAGTCCCTCACCTTGAGTCCGTCCACACACACACACCCACCTATCTCATAACTCAACGCCGCCACCACCACCACTTCACTACCATCACCACCACCACTCAACTCTTGCATCGTGTCCTGCCACACACACACAACCTTGTATACAGGTATCTAAATCACCCGCTAGTTACGTCACACCTCACAGGTACTACACCTCTCAACTCACAGGAATTCCTCGTTACTCACTCACTCCTGGAGGACGCTTGAGTGACGTGTGTAACTCATAGACGGCGTGTTACGTATGTTTACTGTTTTATATAATCATCGTGGGGGAGGGGTGTCAGAAAGGTTAAAGGTCAAGATTTGTATTACGTAATTCCTTGTCAGGACTCCAATACGGAGAGCTACAAAATAGCGTGGTGGGTGTGGGCGTGTGGTGGTGGTGGGTGTGGGCGTGTGGTGGTGGTGGGTGTGGGCGTGTGGTGGTGGTGGGTGTGGGCGTGTGGTGGTGGTGGTGGGTGTGGGCGTGTGGTGGTGTGGGCGTGGTGGTGGTGGTGGGTGTGGGTGTGTGGTGGTGGTGGTGGGTGCGGGGTGTGGTGGTGGTGGTGGGTGTGGGCGGTGGTGGTGGTGGTGGTGGGTGTGGGCGTGTGGTGGTGGTGGTGGGTGTGGGCGGTGAGTGGTGGTGGGGTGGTGGTGGTGGTGGGTGGGCGTGTGGTGGTGGTGGTGGGTGTGGGCGTGTGGTGGTGGTGGTGGGTGTGGGCGTGTGTGGGTGGTGGTGGGTGTGGGCGTGTGGTGGTGGTGGTGGGTGTGGGCGTGTGGTGGTGGTGGTGTGGGTGGTGGTGGTGGTGGGTGTGGGCGTGTGGTGGTGGTGGGTGTGGGCGTGTGGTGGTGGTGGGTGTGGGCGTGTGGTGGTGGTGGGTGTGGGCGTGTGGTGGTGGGTGTGTGGTATCGTTGGCTCTGGTACAGTATTGGCTTCACGTCTCACTAATTTGGGTGGTTGGCGGTGATGGTGGCCACATGACGGAACCAAACCGGAGCCTCCCAGCCATCACTCATATAAACCGTGGGTGTGTGTGTGTGTGTGTGTGTGTGTGTGTGTGTGTGTGCGCGCGCACGCTCCAATAATACCAAGGTGAACAGTAACATTTGAGGGTTTTTGCAGATTCACACACAGTAGACAAGAGGCTGGGGACGACCTACCTCTCGCACCTTCTGTATGAGGAAGCAGGAGGGGGCGAGGGCGGTGCACACGTAGGCAGCGTCAGCGTCCAGGCAGCCCGGGAGGGGGTCTGAGGGCCCCACAGTGGTCATAGTGGCGGGGCAGCAGCACCACCCTATCTGCTGGTGGTGGTGACCCCCCGCGCCCTGCTCCCGGGTCACCCCGCGGAAGGCGCACGTGCTAGTGTGGGTGGAGGGTGGCCCACCGGTGCAGCTGCTGGTGGTAGTGGTGGCAGGGGAGGGCTGGGGGCGGGGTCGCTGTAGTAGTGGTGGTGGTGTCCCACCGGTCGTGGTCACTGACACAGGTTGACGCAGGGGGCGGGGCCCCGCCTGGTAGTGGTGATGGTGGTGGTAGCGAGGAGTGTGTGGTCGTGATGGTCGTGGGAGGGGAGGGCCCCCCGGGGTACGTGCACGGGGCGGCGCCCCCGGGGGTCGTGTGGCGTGGTGGTAGTGGCGGGGCGTGCGGCCGCCACCTCCCCGCCCACCTAGGGGCGCAGCGGGCGAGGGTGGTGCTAGTAGGGCGCCACGCTCCACGCCCGCACCACCCCACCCGCCGCCATCCCTCCACACGCCCGCCCCCGACACGGCGACCAGCGGGCGGCGCCTCAGGCCCGCCGACCCCACACCAACATCAGGTCGGCGCCGCCCACACCCAGGGAGGAAGGGACGAGGGGGCTGGTGGCGCACTGCCGCTACACCCACACCACACCCACTTTAGCCACACACCACGCCCCGCCCACTACAGCAGTAGCACCTCCCCTGGGCGGTCCGCGCTCACCTGACCCCGTCCATCATAACAGGTAAGAGACAGGTGGTGGCGAGGGTCAACGTGAACAACAAGATCACTGGCGGGTCATTAAGAGTATACACATCAACTGGGCCGCCGCGCCGTGTTGGCTAACAACACTCAGTATCTGCCAGGGTTACACTGCCTGTGTGAGGAGATAACTCTGATAACATGGCGCCGCTCCTCCCTCCCTCACTATCAGATAACACCATCACACCAACTGGTCACTACACTATAACCATCCTCACTATACCTTCCACAATAAACTTATAACACCAAATAAATATAAACGGGATCACGTGAAAATTAGGCACCCGGCTTATTTCACCTCACGACCAAACACTCTAACATTACCGGGGGGAGGGGGAGGGGGGGCTGGGTTAGGGTTAGCGCGGTCTGTGTTAAGGGGGTGGGCACTAACTGTCACGAGTTAAATATAAAGATCCAAATAAAACAAATACTACAAAAACCTAAACAGAAGCCGCCATGCACAGGCCAACCGGCCTATTGCAGACTCCTTATTTTCTTATGTTAATACCGAAGTTCGTGTCATTTCCACCCCCTCCCTCTCTCTCTCTCCAAACATTTATATTATTCTGTCAATCAATATTTTCCTTCACCAAATGTTATTAAAATGAACCACAAACTTATTCATCATCATCAACATTTCTACTCGTCAATGTCTATCAATTCTTTATCAGTGCCTTACGACTTCATTAGTTCTTATCAGTTATTCCCCCTTCACTCTCTTGCATTAGTCACTACATTTTCTGTTATACATCACAACACGTGGTTAGTGTATGAATGAATGTATGTTTCGTCCACGTTTTCGTAATTTAAGATACGGGTTTTTTTTCAGTGTCCGGTTAACTAATATTTGGATAACGTGTATATTCGGTTAACGCTTATGTTCGGTTAAAGTATAGGTTTTCAGGTAGACGTTATGTTATGTGGATTACCTGAAGAATATCCACCCCAGCTTGTCTCCTGTCAGTACTTTCCAATCATTCTCAACTATTATCCACCCACGATCCACAATTATCCACCCACCCATCCACACTCGGGTCAAGCCAACGTGACCCCCTCCCTCCACCATCGGTCATTTTGTTTGGTACACGTTTGATACAGCAACCTTGAAATTGACCTTTGACCCCCACACACACAAGCAAGACACCGGACATATTAAGACTTTAACTCTCGTATTACAACCTCCCTCCCCCCCCCCCTCAGATAATGAAAACGGGAATTTTTTGTTAGATACTTTGAACAAAATACAACTTTAAAATTTAAGTAGACGCATTTGAATTTTGTTCTTATCTGCATGTTGGAAAATGGAGACAGACAGACAGACAGACAGACAGACAGACACACACAGACAGACAGACACACACACACACACACACACACACACCCTATACACTCACAGGCACATTTGCATCTTGACGAGGGCTGCTGACAAGCATACAGTACACATATTTTATCTCCCGCTGGTTGCTCGCAGTGGCAGAGGATGTGAGTAAACATTAGTCTGGCGCTGTGTGTGTGTGTGTGTGTGTGTGTGTGTGTGTGTGTGTGTCATTACCGAGGGGGGAGGGGGTGGGTGGGGGGACTATCAGCGTCTAAATTACATGATCAATGTGTAAGAGAACCCATGGACTTAAACACACACACACACACTACCTTAGATAGGTTTTTGTATAAGCACCAGTTATGTCTGAGGTTTAAGTGAAGGTATTGATTAAAGGTAGTCTCAGCTGTTACTTTGGTTTAGGGGTTTATTTTTAGCCCACTGGTTTAACGGACGAGTTTAAACCCTGTGTGTGTGTGTGTGTGTGTGTGTGTGTGTGTTAACCAGATCTACCTACCTTTAACCTATCCTGTCCTAACCTAACCTACCTTACCCTGTTCCTAACCCAACCTGACCTACCTTTAACCTATCCTACACTTCAGTACAGGGAGGGTCAAACAGGAGCAATGACCACTACGGCATTGTCCCATCCATTTAAAGGTCACATGAGGTTACTGACACACACACACACACACACATTCTCTGCCCCAATTTGAAAGTTTCAGGTTTAAATTAAAGAGGATAAGATATAAAAGGAAGGAAGGAAGGAAGGAAGGAAGGAAAGTGAAGGAAGGAAGGAAAGTGAAGGAAGGAAAGAAAGTGAAGGAAGGAAAGAAAGTGAAGGAAGGAAGGAAGGAGAGAGTTTTAAAGGGAAGAACAGAATCAATACTTATAATGTTTATCCGTGGTAGAGAAGCTCAGGCCTTGCTGAGTCACTTGAGTCACCCCTCACATGACTCACCAAACTACTAACTCACCCCTCACATGACTCACCAAACTGCTAATTCACCCCTCACATGATTCAAGAAGCTGACTCACCCCTCACATGACTCTCCAACCAGCTGACTCACCACAAAACTGACTTTCCAGACAGCTAACAAGGAAGGGGAAGTGGGGGCAGGTAAACACAGCAATTCACCATCACACCTGAGATGACGTCACTGATTACTGAGCCAACGTAAACAGACCAGCAGCAGTAACAAAACACACACGCACGCACGCACACACACACACACACACACACACACACACACACACACACACACACCTATCTATGTTATCTAAATGTATATTGTCGTGTAGTAGTAGCAGTAGTAGTAGTTGGTGGTAGTAGGTAGTAGTAGTTGGTAGTAGTAGTAGTAGTAAAATAGTCTTATTAAACCAAAAGCAATTCCTACGTTCATAATCTTTATCTAAGATCGACGTAAAGTTAAAAAAAATTTTTATCGACAAACGAAAATAGCAAGAGTCGGGCAGGGTGACGGGGAACGGTGTCTGACGAGGAAGAAAAATGTATTTTAAGTTTTAACCCAATATCTGCTGCCCCACACACGGAAACAAGCACAGGGACACGCTTACCCCCCTTCCACCCAAAAAAAACAGGGACAAACACGCAAACATGACAACACACACACACAATACAACACACCTCCAGTACTATAACACAACACCTCCAGTACTATAACACACCACCTCCAGTACTATAACACAACACCTCCAGTACTATAACACAACACCACCAGTACTATAACACAACACCTCCAGTACTATAACACCTCCAGCTATAACACACCACCCAGTATATAACACACACCTCCACTATAACACACCACCACCAGTACTATAACACACCACCACCAGTACTATAACACAACACCTCAGTACTATAACACAACACCTCCAGTACTATAACACACCACCAAGTATAACACACCACCACCAGTACTATAACACAACACCTCAGTACTATAACACACCTCGTACTACACACCACCACCAGTCTACAACAGTCTATAACGTTACACACCACCAGTACTATAACACACCACCAAGTACTATAACACAACACCTCAGTACTATAACACAACACCACCAGTACTATAACACAACACTCAGTATATAACACAACACCACCAGTACTATAACAGCACCTCAGTACTATAACACAACACCTCCAGTACTATAACACAACACCACCAGTACTATAAACACACCACCAGTACTATAACACAACACCTCCAGTACTATAACAACACCACCAGTACTATAACACACCACCACCAGTACTATAACACACCACCATCTAAACACCTCAGTTTAACACACCACCAGTACTATAACACAACACCTCCAGTACTATAACACACCACCACCAGTACTATAACACACCACCACCAGTACTATAACACAACACCTCAGTACTATAACACAACACCACCAGTACTATAACACAACACCTCCAGTACTATAACACACCACCACCAGTACTATAACACACCACCCAGTCTATAACACAACACCTCCAGTACTATAACACAACACCTCCAGTACTATAACACAACACCTCCAGTACTATAACACACCACCACCAGTACTATAACACACCACCACCAGTACTATAACACAACACCTCAGTACTATAACACAACACCTCCAGTACTATAACACACCACCACCAGTACTATAACACACCACCACCAGTACTATAACACAACACCTCGTCCACCACCAGTACTATAACACACCACCACCAGTACTATAACACAACACCTCCAGTACTATAACACAACACCACCAGTACTATAACACAACACCTCCAGTACTATAACACAACACCACCAGTACTATAACACACACCAGTACTATAACACAACACCTCCAGTACTATAACACAACACCACCAGTACTATAACACAACACCACCAGTACTATAACACATATATACACCTCAGTACTATAACCAACACCACCAGTACTATAACACAACACCTCCAGTACTATAACACAACATCTACACCTCCAGTACTATAACACAACACCACCAGTCTTAACACCACCAGTACTATAACACAACACCTCCAGTACTATAACACAACACCACCAGTACTATAACACAACACCTCAGTACTATAACAACACCTCCAGTACTATAACACAACACCTCCAGTACTATAACACAACACCTCAGTACTATAACACAACACCACCAGTACTATAACACAACACCACCAAGTACTATAACACAACACCACCAGTACTATAACAACACCTCCAGTACTATAACACAACACCACCAGTACTATAACACAACCTATACCTCAGTACTATAACACAACACCTCCAGTACTATAACAC